TTGTAACATAAAAACAAGCATGTTAAAATTCCTGTTCGGTGTAGTTCAAAGCAGGTTTCATATTCATATTACATTAACATGTTCTTTTCCTTGTATGAAAAATGTAATTTTTGTCACTGAACATTTAACACCAATCTACATAGGAAACGCAATTCATTGAATACCATATCAACCGAGAGGTATATACTCACTATGTATGTGCTGCTAAATGTTCTTCATAAACATCACATGGAAAGTTCACAATAGAACAAAATGAAATCAAATTTTTCTCCTTTAAATATAGTTTTTACAGACGCTAACTATCAACTTCTAGATGCAATTGAGATATTAAGACGGTCTAACTGTATTTATAGTGTCATCTAATTCAAGTTAAATGAGAAAAAAGCTATCAATGCAGTCCTCAAGTTTAGATAATTCCGGATGGTGACATCATCTATATAAGGTTTGTGAAGCTTAAGTGATAACGCTTGCTACTTTCTCTTCATATTTCTTTGAAACCCATGTATGAAGGGCATGTGCCTCATACAAATAAAGTATCAATTCAAGGAAAAGAGGAGCACATTTTGTTCCCCCATAGGAATGCAAATTGTCTGTTGACAAATATATCGTCATTAAAAAGCATCTTAATGATGTCAGTTTTGGAAAACTCCTTGTTAGAATCAGTTGAATTTCGATTTTTTTCATGAAATAAGGTTTGTGCCTTCCTAAACATGTATTAGTATCTATAACGAACATTCTGTTTTCTGAAACAACGAATGGCAAATTCTTAAACTTTATAAAAAAGTAAAATAACAAAAATACAGAACTCCGAGGAAATTTCTAAACGGAAAGTCCCTAAGCAAATGGCAAAATCAAAAGCTTAAACACATCAAACGAGTCATATTCCTGACTCGGTACAAGCATTTTCTTTTGCAGAAAATAGTGGATTAAACCTGGTTTCAACCACAAGAGGGTTTATGAGGCCTTTAACCTCAAATATGTGAAATCCAAACCTCCGGATTGCTCATGTGCATCGTCAAAATAAAATTATAGTCCAGCTGGTCATGTTTTTACTGGCGACCTTGGCATCGTAACCAGTGAACAACTAAGAGAGATGTTAGCCAAGGGATCAAAATAAAGAATTCCCCAGCCCATCAACTGGAAAAAGAACTTCAGGTTACTGATGGATGCAGTTGAGGACTATGCTAGAAAATGGGTAAAGCGCAAACCAGACGAACCAGAACTGGACACTTTGTCTGAATGGATCAAAGCAATTCGATCATGCATTCAGAAGCGCATTCAGAAACTACGATGTACTATTAGCACAAGGGTTTCTAACCCATTCACGAACCCGGAGGATGTAGATGCTTTATCCTCTTTGCATGACAAATATGTCGTTGTTCCAGCAGATAAAGCCTCCAATAATATTGTCTTAGTATGTAAAACCATTATTTGCGATATCTCACAAAGCAGCTTGGAACAAACGGCACAACTGGTAATCCTACATATTCTTTAACTTCAATTACAAAGGATGAAATTTTACAAAATCACAAATCTGTCCTTCTTTCTTTTGGTATTAACATCAAAGAAAACAAAGAAAATCTTCCGTCATTATACTGGATACCAAAGCTTCACAAAACTCCGTATAAAGAACTATACATAGCTGGAGCATCAAAATGTTCGACTAAACATCTTTCTAAAATGCTAACTACTATTCTTTCTACAGTAAAATATGGCCTTCAAAAATATCGTGATGGGATATATTCAACCATTGGTGTCAATCAGATGTGAATTCTCAAAAATTCTAACGATCTACTGCTTAGATCACAATCTCTGCAATTTTTCAGCAACATTAAGACCATTGATTTATCTACGCTTTACACTACTATTCCCCGTGTTCAATTGAAAGATCGACTCCACCATCTCATTAGACAGAGCTTCTTTTTTATATAAAAATGGGAATCGTAGATATAAATTTCTTGTTTTGGGTTATAATAATTCTTATTTTATGAAGAAACACACTGATTCTATCAGAATATACACTGAAGATGATATTATCAAAATGCTGGACTTTTTAATCGACAATATATTTCTTGAGTTTGGAGGATTGATATTTCAACAGACAATCGGTATTCCAATGGGTACTAATTGTGCACCCGTTCTGACCGATTTGTTTTTGTACTCGTATGAAGCATAATTCATTCAGAACCTTCTAAAAGACAAAAAGAATAAGCACCTTGTTTAATTTTACTTTCAGATATATTGATGATGTCCTATCACTGAATAACCCATATTTCAGTCAGTACTTACATCTCATATATCCCAGTGAACTTGAAATTAAGGATACTACTGATTCTAGAAGGACTGCATCATACCTTGATCTTTTCCTCAATATTGACACAGATGGACGACTTCACACTAAAATGTATGACAAACGGGATGATTTCAACTTCCCAATTATCAATTTCCCATTTCTCAGCAGTAACATACCCTCTGCTCCGTCTTATGGTGTTTACATATCTCAAGTGATAAGTTATGCTCGTGCATGTTCACACTATACGGACTTCGTACACAGGAGTGTGCTCCTTACGCAGAAACTGCTCCAACAGAGTTATGAGTAGGAAAGATTATTAAAAATGACACTCCGTAAATTTTATGAACACCACCACGAATTGGTTGATCTATACGATGTGTCTGTGTCTAAACTAACTAACGACATTTTTACCACGTCTTAGATTGTGGTTTAACATCTATGTCGTCTGTCTGCTAAGTACCGAACGTGACCTATTTCCGAATAGGACTGTTTTGCCGAGTGTGAATTTGCATTGCTATACGTGTCTAGGTATTTATACATCTAACATTCATGTATTTAGTTATGATGTTTCTATTGTGGGTTCGGTTCGATATTGTGTTATGTCTTATCGTTTGTGGTTTGAACTCTGGATTTTCGGTACATTTCGCATATGTCTTATTTGTCAGTTTAGCATAACAAACAAATATGTCAACAAATAAAAACAAAAAGGCATATAGACAAAGTACATAGCAAAAACGAAAGACAAGATTACAAAAATTTACCATAGCACAATAACACAATGACGAGATGTATAAGTACCGAGCCACGTCAAATGGATATTACCAAAAATAGACTAAACAGTAAAAGTAATAATTTACAAAGACAAATAAAAGAATACTATAACACGTTATTAAGATGATAAACAACGTCAGTACCTAGAATCTATACTTCAAGACCATTGTGTATTATTTGTGAAGTTGATACGGAATATTTATCAACAAGGTCTTGGTATCTCCCGATGAACTTTTTTAGAAAAAGGACGAGACGTTCTTTGACAAAGTCTGAGTAGCAGCTGCAAGCTCTTGAATACCGAATGAGTTGGGAAATGTATATCCCATATCCAGATGAATTTGGTATATTGCTACTAGGGCGGGGGAAATTGATAATTTCAAAATTAAAATCGTCTCATTTGCCATAGATTCTGGTACTGAGATGACCGCGTATGTCAAATTCGAGGTATACGTCTGAGGCAGAGGAAGCCGTGTCTGTTGTTTCTTTAATTTCTAGTTTTGGAGGATATATAAATGGAACCCAATCAGAAAAGTTTGGATTGTTGATGGACTTAAATTTAATGTTGACCGATACAAACTGTCTTGAAACAGAAGTTCCTTCATAACATAGGTTCCAAGTGGAAGAAATATTCTGTAATATTATTTCCACTACAGTTTTTGTTCCTGTCTAAATGCAACTTATATAATCATTGTTCCAACAGGAACAGATAATATGGCATTGTTTACATCAAATCTACGAATCACTGCGAATCTTTTATCACATCATACAAGGCAATTAACAGTAAATGTGCTTTAATCAATACATTCGGGTTGTCATTTTGGAATTAAAAATTCATGGCAATATTGAATAGTCTTAGTTAAATTTATTCACTTCTTTTTAAGACTCATGTAGTTGGTTTGCTGTTCTAATGGCACATACCCAAAACAACTGGCCATAGACTGTGCAACATTTCTTATTGTATAACTTACTATTAAGACATATGGTTTAGATATTCCAAAAGGGGTTTGAGCGGGTGTGTGGGGACATAAAAACTCGTTTAAACACTCAACATTTTGTACATGTATCAAGTGAGGCTATTTAGACTTTGTGTTGTTCGTTGTTGTCGATCCTTGTCTTTTTTTTTAACTTTTCTTTACGGATTGTTATTTATCCTTGTCTTTAAATGAACTTTTTTAACGGATTGTTGTTGATCCTTGTTTTTCTATGAACTTTTTTTAAACAGATTGGTGTTGATCCTTGACTTTGAATGATTTTTTTTTTACGGATTATTGTTGATCCTTGTCTTTGTATGATCATTTTTAACAGATTGTTGTTAGTCCTTCTCTTTGTATGAACATTTTTAACGGATTGTTGTTGGTCCTTTTTTTGCGTGAACCTTTTTTTACGGAAAAGTCGGATTTTGGTGATTGGTGTGATCTTTTATATCTTTTTCAATATAATGGAATTCTATGCGACTGTCATACAAGTAAGAGGTTAAGCTAGCTATAAATTCAGGTGTTAATCCACCATTTTCAACACAAGGAAATGCCTGTACCAAGTAAGGAGACAGTTGTTTTTCATTCGTTTGATGTGTTTGAGCTTTTGATTTGCCATAGGACTTTCCGTATTGAATTTTCTTTGGAGTTCGATATTGTTGTTATTTTTGTTTGTATTCCCGGGGTTACAAATCTCCATTCATTCATACAAAAGACGAAGTAAAAATGCTAAGATTAAGTGGAAACTAAGTCGATAGGAGTTCAAATTGCACAAAAATAAATATTATGATTACTGAATGACACCTGATAGAATTTAAACCAACGTATGATTATACAGGTATTTTTAAATCAGTTCGTAAAAAGATCGATCAGAATGTCAAAATTTAGGACCATAGTTTGGAAGCATTTCAAGACAATATTTAAATATAGTGCATTAGGTGGACTGTGAAAAAATACCTTGAATGGAACTATTTCTATACAATGTTTAAACATAGTGCATTAGGTGGATTGTGACGGAAAACACTATTAAAGACACTGGATATAGATACAAATTCACATTATTGGTAATAGTATGTTGTCGTATTTGAAGGAATAAATTCACAGAGGTAAGAAATTTTAGTATGTGGGATTGATTTTCATACCTGCAATGTATGTATACGTAATTAAATTCTATACTGAATCCTGTCTGTAGATTTGGCTATTGTTAGGTTTACACAATATACAAATTGCTAAAGAGTTTCAACATTTAGACAGGCTCCTGATTTGTGCAATGTTCACAGTGGTGAGTTAAACTTATGAATGCAATGCCATATTTGATTACTAGAATTTGATAAAATACATGGGCACATCCCAACAGAAAATTGATATCACAAAATTCATTAGCTTTTTAACAGAAACTCAACCGGTGGCCCAAAATTAATTCAAGGTAGTTTCGACATTCGTCTGGTGAATTAACGGACAAAAACGGAATATCTTATTATTTATAGATATAGAAGATAAAATAAATCAATACTGAAGGAATGATATAACAAATGTCAAAAACACTATACTGACTGAAAAATAAATATCTAGGATAGCTGTACATTACACAGCACGCCATTTACAATAATTCACAGCGAGTACAGGTTGTTTGGTGGAAACGTATGTAGGGCTTACTCGTTTAGTGGACATTTACATCCGATGTCCAGTCCTTTTCATGTAGCTTTTTTGCGTGCGTGACGGGCACATGTGTTTTAAAGTACATTAAAATTTCAAACAGTACCTTCTTATTACTGAAATTTTGCTCGTCTTCTTTTTGATATTTTATTTTACTTTATTCTAAGGGATAAGGTCTCACTCACACTTAAAGGTAGATACCAAGGAGGCAATTAAAACCTATATATATACATTATTTCAACCCCAAACACTACTTAATATAAGTAATAAAATACTTAAAACAAAACGAAAAACAGAGCAAAAGAGTAAACATTTTTTTTTTAATATCCTAGTCTATCAATTTTTTTTTTTTTTAAAGTTGAGTATATTATTGTCCTGTGTGGAAAAAAAACTGATTTCATATTTGCTAGCGGGTACCTTGATGGCCAGCCAGTTGATAAAGTTTTTGTGAATTTACCACCCACCTTCCTTATAAATCAGTTCAGCCTATCCCAAATAAGGAAGATATTCTATTTTCGGTCCTGGCTTTTGCAAAAAATGACAGTGTGCTTTTTCTACTGGTATTTGACAGTTTGTCAATTAAACGCTGGTTAACGTCGTTCCAGTTTGTCAACCAATAACATTCACCGTATGAATTTGTGCGAACGTGCAGAACAAAACATTTAAATAAAAATGAAAAAATTTTTTTTTGAAAACCCTATTTTTATTTATTCGCAACTATTGCAGACTTTTTGCAGTTTAAAGTTTGACTTAGTGTATATTGTTGGAGCTTGTATGTTGAACTCTGGATGTCTTCTAGTTTTGACGTGTCGTTGGTTTACTGTCTTGACGTAAACCCGAAATATTTATCAACTCATATAACTCTCGCTTGCATTTTACCTAATTGGTGCTATACAAACATTCGTTTTTGTGTTGTATTCTGTTTTAATAGCCCTTTACTTCAGCTTTGTTTAAAGTAAATATTAGTCGATTCGTGAGAACAATTCGTTTATACTTACCGATTTAAGTTATATATTTTAACAAAAAAAAAATAACTGAGGGCCTGGATGGGTGGTCCTCAATTTCTGTATTTTTTATATTGTTAGGGCACTTTTCTTTGTCTTTAAAAAATAACGCTTATTTTGTAAAATTCTCTTATTTTGTCTTAATTAGATGATTTCTATATTTTGTACATCGTTCGTTTTTGTTATCAGCATAGTATTACGTAATTTTTTACAATCATAATCAAATGATACAGCAGAACGCGGAGACATTTCAGCGTGTACACACTTGTCTTTTCAATATGCGGCAAAAATATACTTATCTTTTGAAATCAGTCTGATATGTATCGTAAACCCTTTTATGAAAAAAAATGTTTGTTAGACAAGATGTATTTGCATTTTCATTTTAAAGGGATTCGTTGCATATTTAGGGGAGATAACTGTCGTTCAATGTACCAGCATTACCTTTTTGTTTATGATGAAGTCGTAATAACGAAATCTAATTACTAGACCAAAATTTTAAAATAAGAAATATTGCTCATCAGTTAAGTTACAAAAGAAATATCAGACAATCATAGAACTGTTGCCATGAGGGACTTGCAAATTCGTCATGCATCACACACTATTCTCCATGCACCATGCATCATTACATCATACACGCCATATATTATGCACTATTGCATCATACATAATTACATCATACTCAATTAAGGTTACACCATTCAAGTACTGTATATGTAAACCAATGAAGTTTTCAGATGTGATTTATTTTTTCACAATTACCATGGCATAACTATAAAACCTATTTGGCTATTTTTGCAGAAAAACCAGTACTTTTTTAATCATTTCCACGAAATATTAGTTTCAAAACAGTCGAAATTAATTTGTGTTGTACGGTTACTCTTTTATAGACCTTCTAATTCATATTCAGGCTACGACTATTACATAAAGAGTAATGACATTTTTGTTTTTGATACGATCTTTATCAGCAAGAATACTAAGCTAGCCCATTAAGGCGACTCGTGATATTCGTGCTGAACAAGTCCAAATCAAACATAAAATGCCATTATTCTATCGGCAGTTTAGCTGAACAAGATGTTTCTTTGGGTACATCTGAAATAACACGAAGTAGTTAAAAAACACTATGTGATAGTTGTTTGGTTGTATGAATGACATGGCAAAATAAAATTGAGAATGGAAATGGGGAATATGTCAAAGAGACAACAACCCGACCAAAAAGCAGACAACAGTCGAAGGCCACCAATGGGTCTTCAACGCAGCGAGAAAATCCCGCACCCGGAGGTGCTCCTCAGCTGGCCCCTAAATAAAATTGTGTACTAGTTCAGTGAAAATGGACGTCACACTAAACTCCAAAACATATAAATGAACTAAAATTAAAAAAACATACAAGACTAACAAAGGCCAGATGTTCCTGACTTGGGACAGGCGCAAAAAATGCGGCTGGGTTATACATGTTTTGTGAGATCTCAACCCTCCCCTTATACCTCTAGCCAATGTAGAATAAAGAACACATAGCAATACGCACAGTAAAACTCAGTTCAAAAGAAGTCCGAGTCCGATGTCAGAATAGGTAACAAAAGAAAGTAAGCAAAATGACAATGATACATAAATGAACTAAGGACTACTAGCAGTTACTGACATGCACTTTACTGGGACATCGGATTGGATGAACATGGACAACATGACGTTACTGGCTTACTGCATTGTTATGTGACGTTATATGGCCTAATATTTTCAACAATCACGTTCTGTTGGAGATTTAAAAATAATAGGCAAAAAGATCAAAGGAAAATTTACAAATTGCCGATAAACTGTACATGACACATTCTTTGTATCCTTTCCAGAATGTTTACTTAATATCAAAACTCGAGAGAACATTGAAAAAAGAGAAATGACGTCTCCGTCTACTACTCAAGAGGTTGTCGTCCATGTAAATGGAAACGTCAATGAAAAGTCCAATGGAATATCAAATGGAGTGCATTTCAACGAAACACGTACTGAAGTGACAGCGGTGACGGACAAGAAACCAACACTAGGAATTTTTGGATTGGTTAGTTTTTATTGTTGAATAAACACGATTACTCACATCACAATTTGATTTTAATGTAACAAAATAAAAACAATTATGAAATTTATTAAAAACCCAAAGAATTGACAATTTCTCAAATCTTTTAAAATTAATTTTTTTATGTGTTGTGTGAAAGTAATCCATATAAAAAAAAATTGAAAGCTGATTTGATCAATAATAGGTTTTTAATAATTTAATTTAGATAGGAGTACGTAAACAGTTGTTTGTTTCCTTTCTTTTTTCAGTTTAAATATGCTGGCAAGATAGATATTGTGATATTATTACTGGGAACATTATTTGCCATGGGACTAGGAACATGTATGCCACTGAACCTTCTAGTATATGGCAAGGTAGCCAATGCCTTGATTCAGTACACAAATTATATAAATCTGCAAGCAGTACAAAAGTAAGTTGAACAAATAGAGGCTGATTTAATGTCTCGCAGTCAGTTATCTCTGGTAAAATATCTTCAGGATAAGGCTGAATTAGCACTTAATGATGTCTACGCTATTCCACGGTTGCCATCAAAACAGATACAATTTCTTGAATCCGTAACAGGTACGTAAATGGGCGATCCTGGACTTTTGAAAATTTGCATGCAACTGGAATTTGTGAAAATACAAATCTTAAACATTATACAAGTTAGTTCTTTTCCTCGTCGAAACAAAGCGAAGTAAATAGGTTTTATTACCGTCAAAGTACTTCTTCTGCAAAAGATTTATGTAGAAAAGTTTGAAATTCTGATGGCATTCATTGAGATTCATAATAAGTTATTTCAAGTATTCCAGTATGACTTCCACCTCGGTGTGGACGTTTTATCATTTTTTAAGTATTATGAACTGTTTACTTAGAGAGGGAAAAATTAATTACGAGTTATGAATTAACCTAATTATTGTATATGAAGGCAACCGGTGCTTTGCTTTTGCGACAATTAGCATTTCATTTGCGCCAAAATAATCTTTCATTTGCGCCACAAACGATATTTCATTTGCGCCAAAATAAAACATTTCAATTGCGCCAATAATACAGGTAAATACAGGTAAATAGTATAAAAAAAAAGTTTTATTCAAAAGAGACTTTTAATAATAACTTTAAAACACAGTTTTTGATTGCATTATAAAACATATTCCTAAGAAATCAGTCATCGTAACCATAATGGAAGCACTATACACTGATACGTTCCAAATAAGAGACTTTTCATAATAATGTAAAAACACAGTTCTGTTATAAATTAACGTGATCATAAAACCTAAAAGAAAGCACTATACACTGGAGTAAAACTTAAAAGTTTGTTCTGACACAAGACGTGTAAGCAACGGCTCGGATGTACTCATATACATTTGATAACCTATATGTGTGGTCATAAAAAGTTACAGACTAATTTCCTATATATAAAAATAAGGATATGTGGTATTATTGCCAACGAGACAACTATCCACCAAAGTTCAAATGAAGTAGATGAAAGCAATTATAGGCAACAGTACAAAATAAGCATGAACTTACTTATCCAGGAGGAATACTCTAAACAAAATATGATTCACGATGTAGCAAAGAATATTTTAAACTTTTCCGTTATAAGCTCCCTGTAAAATGGCGCAAATGCAGTTTTATTTTTTTTGGCGCAAATGAAATACAACCTTGTGGCGCAAATGAAAGATTGGATTTTGTAAACATTGGCGCAAATGCAATGCGCCCAAGCCAACATGTTCTTTTTAAACGGCCATGGCTAATTTTACATCAAAGGATGATGAATTCCATCCTTCATGTTTGTTGTTCCAAACTTGTCATTAGTTTGGATACGGTCAGTTATGTATGCATCCAGATATTTTATTTTTAATATAATGGATTTTGTGGATGTACAAAAAAAGGAGGAAAAAGGAGTACAAACATTACCGATATGTTTAACACATTTGATTTAGATTTGGTTCGAAACATTCTGTTTACATTTGTCCACTGTCTATTGAATTAATTTCTTTATTTATCCAGTAAGACCAGTATGACTTATCAGAGAATAGCTGCACTAGAGGAATATTCTGATGTTTATAGCATAGCAAAGGATTATGCTTTTTGGTTCAGCATGATCGGAGTCGGTGCAATCATAACCGGATTTTTGGCCGTAACTTTATGGACACTGGCAGCTGAAAGGCAGATAAAAACAATTAGACAATTATTTTTTAAGTCAGTGATGAGACAAGAGATTGGTTGGTTTGATACTCACGAAAGTGGAGAATTGTCAACAAGATTTTCAGAGTAAGTTTTATTAAAATATGTTTATTATTTTGTTTAAAATGAGAAAAATGACAAAATGCATAGTTCCATATGAGATCATGCCAGAATTTTTAAGACTAAATATTCTATGCTTAAAATACTGACTGAAGTTGCGTTTTGCAAGTTCAAATTGAAAGGGATTTTACTTATACAAACAAGGAGATGTGCATGATTGACAATGAGACAAATATCCGCATAAAAGACAACGCAGAGTACAAAGCAGTGAACAAGTACAAGTCACCACACGACCTTTTACAATGAACAAACCCCATATCGTGTCGTAAGCTATAAAAGGCCCATTCAAAACAAAAATTTACCTACAGATCAATATTCCAAATCTGTTTCTGTGATTCCTAGAGTTCCTTTTTAAAGGATCATTTATTCAAAAAGACGTATCTATATGTTCAAAAGACATTTTGGGGAAAATAATTGGTGCATATAGTTATATTTGAGAAATAATAAGAAACTACAGAGTTATAAAACATGATGATAAATACGATCAAATACAAATTATGTTCCATTGCAGGGGCGGATCCAGGATTTTGGAAAGGGGGGGCGTAGTATGTTATATTTGCCGAGCGGAGCGAGGCGAAAATTTTTTTGGACCTTTTTTTTTTGGCTACAAAACATAAGATAAGTGTAAAATGCACATTTTTAGTGACGGTTCCTAACGTGGGGTATGTATATTTTATAGTTAAAGTGCCGGTAAGCTTGGGTTGGACATTTTTGATGCCGCATTCTCCCCATTAGTTGTCTATTATAAAATGATTGAATGGATCTAAAGCTATGTACTAATATATTTGATGTGGGATTTGTCAGTAAAAAATGGACATGGAAAATTCTCGTTTGTTGTATGGCAAGTTAGCATAACCTTACAGATTACTTGTTGTAAACATGATATACGGCTATTCAATGAAGTTTATAATACGACCGACACGAACAAAGACAAACAAGCAATTTTTATCCAGATGTTTGGTTGAAATGTTTCACTCAACAAGGGAAGTGAGGGGTTCCAAATCAACCAACGGCTACGAATGAGTCTGAAAATCAAATGACAACGAAGTTGTGAATGACGGTCGACAAATGGAGACATAAAGGCCACACCCAGCAGGCAGGTTGCAGTTGGGCCTTGAAAAAAGTATTCAGTATATCAGTTCGGCGAAACAGACATTCCGGTCAGATATGGGATTTACATGCAACCCCCCCCCAAATAAAAAATTACGCCCGTTTTTTATTCACCATGTTCATTTAATGCTGAATAATTCTGTTGGATTTTTTTTTCTTATAGCAAAAAAGGGGACACGATAATTGTTTTCATTACAGATACGGATAGAATTTTTGTTTAAGGCAAAAATCAGGGTAAGAATTTTTTCTCTAAAATATCTCAGACTGCCTTATCAAATCAAATGGTCCGTATCTTAGACTTTAAATATATCTAGAGCTTACTGACTGGGGATCATTATTCAGCAATGTTATTAATTGGCTGGGGCGTGTGGGGTTAAACATATTTTCGTAGGTAAATAATTTTTGCCGTGGAACTTTTTTTTCACGAGAGTGTAATAGAGTATTACTTTCTGTTGAGTGGAAATATGAAATAGAAGTCAATACGTTCTTGCTCAATCTTTTGTCGCTTTGAAGGCGTCGTGCTTGTCATCCTCCGCCTAAGCAATGTGTTACTGTAATTTTAATTTCAAAATGACTGAGTGAGGTTTCAAAAGTACAGATCAACTCCACCTTAGCGAAACATATGACTGACATAATCAATAATATATTACAGTAAATACGAGCGAAAAATATCTTTATAAGTAAAGAATTGTCGCATAAAAATTAAATACACGACCGGGAAATGGCAAAGTTCACGAAGTCTAGTCTGATTCATCATTTTACAAAAAAAAAAAAAAAAAAAAAAGTTCCAGCAAAGGGGGGGGCGTACGCCCTCTACGCCCCCCTCTGGATCCGCCACTGCATTGGAAGATGTTTGATATTGAGAGCTGGTCCGGTTAACTCCTAAATGATAGTAGTGAATACGAAGTAGCTACACTTATTAGGGATATCAGTTTTTATTTTTCTATAACACAGATATAAATATAATCTGTGTGTTATATAAAAAAGACATACACGGGTTTTTTTTTATTCAGCGCCGCAAAGGAGACAATATAGCCACTATGATCGAGTTATTTATGGTGTCATCTAACTATTAATTTTGTATGTATAATATTGTAGATGTTTTCTATAACTTAGGACCGAGTCCCCATTATCACTTTATTTGTGATGTTATTTTGATAATGTTTTATACTGTGGAGCCATCCATGTAAATTGAGATGGTATAGGAGACAGAGTTGCAGCAATTATCCGTATCATATAAATTTTTTATAACAGAAATAATCATGTAATCATAGGTAGTAAGGCTACAAAAGGCCCTTATTATCCAATATTATTGTTTTATTTTTCTATATAAAAGATATGCATGTAGGAATATATGGTATGAGATACAAAGTGGTCACAGTGACCTAGTTAACCATGGGTTTGTTCGACTATTGTTGTAATTTACATAGATCGCATGTAATCCTAGTGGCCAAAAATGACCTTAGTTATCTATGGGCTTATTCTTCTATAGTAATTTTACATAGCTATGCATGTAATCACGGATTGTATGGGAGACAGAATCGCCGCAATGATCTACTTATCCACCATGTTTATTCTTCTATTGTTTAATTTACCTAGATGGTATATGGAAGACTGGGTCAGTGACCACAATTATCCAGTGATTATGGCTTTTTTCTATTGTTTTATTTTTCTATTGAAATTTTGGAGACAAAGTGACCACTATGACCTATTTATTCATGTCTTTTTTTGTGTTGTTTTTACTTTACAGATGTATGCATGCTTTTCTTGATTGCATAGAAGACAAAGTGACCACCATGACCTAATTAATCATGGTTTTATTTTGTGTTGTTTTATATTAAAAGAGATATGCATGTAATCCTGCATGGTATGGGAGAAAAAGTGGCCACTATGACCTAGTTATTCGAGCTTTTATTTTTGTGTTGTGTTACATTACAGAGATATGCATGTAATCCTTGATGGTATGGGAGACAAAGTGGCCACAATGATTCAGTGGATGACTACATTCATTGCTGCCTTTATCATTGCCTTCATAAGTGGATGGAAATTATCATTGGCTTCTGTAGCTTTTTGTCCTGTACTTGTTGTGGTTGGAGCATTTATGACAAGGGTAAAATTCAGTATTTTTAAACATTGACTTGTATTAAATCAAGCAACAACACTTGTTTCTACAATGTTGGTTTTCTATGAATAAACTTATCGACAACAACTTCAATCCTAAAAAAATAACACTGTTAATTGTTATATATATAAATAAACGAAAAATTAATGTCAAGAATACTTTCATGCAAATGGTTAATGGCATACAATACTTTTTAAAGATATGAATTACCATTCATTTTTTTCATATTAAAATGAAACACACATTTGTTAAGGCTAAGATAATCACAAGGACTACAAAACACTGCAATTCGACTTGTATATACATGCATAATCTTAGTTTTGAAGTCATAGATTCCAACTAATATTTCGAAAAATATAATCACATTTTAGTGGTTACAAACCATATCACGGAAAGAAGCCCAGAGTTATGCCAGTGCTGGTGCTGTAGCTGAGGAAGTATTTCTGTCAATAAGAACTGTCATGGCTTTCAATGGGCAGACAAAAGAATGTGAAAGGTTTGTTATTCAGGCTAATTTTGTTAAATATAATCACATTTAAGTGGTTACTAACTATATCAAGGAGAGATGCCCAGAGTTATGCAATTGTTGGTGCTTTCGCTAATCAAAAAGTATTGCTCTCAATAAAAACTGTCATGGATTTCAATGGATATACTAAAACATGTGAAAAGTTTGTTATTCAGGCTAGAAAGACCTGTTGTCTATATTTGTTAATATAATTCATATGTTTAGATTCTTATTCTAAAAACAGAACAATGCAAATTGTTTAATTTTCGTGGTGTTACGAAGGACATTCTACCATTATGGCTTTTCATCAACAAACACATTTCGAAACTACTTGAATAATATTCTTAAGATAAATTGTAAATGGTGCAGATCAATGTAACAAGGAGATTAAACATATTGCAGTTTTCAGAAAACAAATTTAAAAGATGACATATTTATAATATATATGTTACTAGATGAAAAATGTGAGAAGAAAGATAAGCTATTTAGTCCAGCCTTTTACGTTAATATAAGGCAGGTGCTACCTGAAGAGCTTTGAAGGTTATATGATTATAACTTGTCAATTTTGCATGTTTGTTTTACTTTCATTATACTTTCCGGTAATCAGACAAACACATTTGCTTGAAATCGGGGTCTCATTTATGATATATCATAAGAATTCCCCAAACATACGAAAACCGGAAAGTTGTGCGGCCATGTTGTAGAGAGTTTTGTACCATAGTGAAATAGATCCAAATCGACCCCTTTCCCATTTAAGCTCCATACAACCTTCATTTTAACTCTTGCTTACAAATTATTTGTATTTGTTTGGCTTTCATGTTGTAAATTTACACTGCTAAATACTCATAATAAAATATTGTTTCATTGTTACAAAACGGCAAAGATTGAAAGCCACTGCAAAATGTTGATCTTTTAGATACAACGAAAACCTGAAAGATGCTAACAGTCAAGCGATACGGAAAGGAATCGTAACAGGTCTTGGACAGTCCGTGTTTTGGTTCTTTGTATATTCAGCATTTGCCGTTGCATTTTGGTATGGTATCTATTTAATACGGAGTGGTGAGGCTGGATTTGAAGCAGGAGAAACACTAACTGTAAGTAATCTCTCTTGCAAGTATTATTATTGTTCTTTAAATGGAATGCATTATTTTGCAAACATTCCAATACTGATGGAAAGTATAAACTGAAAGTATGATCTACTTCGTTAGAAAGATAAAGATAGTATCTTTCTACTGAAGTAGAATCAATGTCGATGTTCGAAGTTGATTATTTGATTAATTCTGTCTGCCTTTTATTTCCACACTATGAAACTAATGTAAAAGTATGTTCCAAATATACCACAAGACTAACAATCCTCAACTTGCAACCCCTCTCCGTAGACAAAAAGAGGACTACTGGATTCGACAATTGGGAACTGCGACACCATATGGTTGCAATGACAAAATTAATGATATAGGTATTCTATCTAGTCCTTCCTGTAGCTCGGTGAATGTGATGAATATTTTCAACTCAACTCCTCGACGTAGACGCAGTCATGGTCATCGTCATTATACATCACCTACTTTGCATGATGTCTCTATTAATGACTTGCTGCCATTTATTCAAAAGCCGTTAGGTATTCATCACATTTGTACGAAACTTTATTCATTACCCCTTTCAAAACTTCATTCTCTGTTCAATTTATGTTTGGAAACCACTGTTACAAACCCTCATTCAAACCAATACAAACTTACAGCTATCATTTCAGATATTGCAAGTCACAGACTTTTCAAACCAGTTCGCATCAGAAAAGATGAAAAAGAGAAAAGATCTTTTCTTAAACTTGCCTTTGCCGACAATGGTCTCGATGGCGTCAATTTAGGCAATATCCTTCATCATAAATTAGTTCAGTCGAAAATACCTCCTTATTTTAAAGATCAGTCTGTACCAATAATTTCTTATACCTATACCAAACCAATTGCAACTAAAATTTTCAATTACAAACACGTTTTGCAGGATCTCAACATTGACGACTTCAAGTCTAAACCTCCTGATTGCACCTGTGCTAGTTCCCAATTCACATATAATCCGGCTGGCCACGTTATTACCGGAGACCTCAACATTGTCAATTACACTTCCCTGCGAAATTTGTTATCCAAAGGTCCGAAATATCGTGAGCCTAAATCCATCAATTGGAAATACAACTTCAAAATACTGATGGATTTAGTCGAGGATTATGCCAGGCAATGAGCTAAACGCGAGAAAGAAGACGTAGATACTCTTTCCGAATGGATTAAGGCTGTGAGGTCGTTGATACAAATCCGAATTAAGAAACTAAATGGGTCTATCATTACCCACGCTACGTCAATTTTTAAAGACCCAAATGTTTCAAAACACTTGTCCTACCTCCATGACAAATATGTTGTTGTCCCCGCAGATAAAGCCCCAAATAACATCGTTTTTGTGTGTAAATATCATTACATAAACTGCTTGATAAATGAATTAGGTATTGACAATTCATTTGGAAACTCAGCATATACCCTCACGACACTTACCAAAGAGGAAATCCTGGATAATCATAGGTCTGTTCTATGTTCCTTTGGAATTTCAACCAAAGATGAAGAACTGGATCTTCCATCACTTTATTGGATACCTAAACTACATAAGTGTCCTTAACAACAACGGTATATTGCTGGGTCTTCCAAGTGCTCCACGAAACTTCTTTCTAAATTATTAACATCTATTTTATCAGCAATCAAAGCCGGGCTCCAAAGTTATTGTGAAACTGCCTATTCTAGAGGTGGCATGAATCAGATGCGGATACTAAAAAATTCCAAAGATCTTTTAGAGTACATACAATCTAAGACTCTCATATCTTGCAATAGTATTAAAACATTTGACTTTTCTACACTTTACACAAGTATTCCCCATTCCAAACTAAAAGACAAATTGAAAGAGTTGGTATAACTAAGTTTCATTAAAAAGAATGGCGAACGTAGATACAAGTATCTTGTCTTGGGGAGGGATAAATCCTACTTTGTAAAGAATCATTCTGATTCAAACAAAAAATTCTCTGAAACTGACATTATCAAGATGCTTGATTTCTTGATTGACAACATATTTGTTACGTTTGGTGGACGTGTTTTTCAACAGACGGTCGGAATTCCAATGGGAACCAATTGTGCCCTCTTCTTGCCGACTTGTTTCTTTATTATTATGAGGCTGACTTCATACAGGAACTTCTAAGGAAGAAAGATAAGAAGTTATCACTAAATAATACAAAATTTGGTGACTATGTTGAACGAATCTATCCCATCGAACTAGAGATAAAGGATACTACAGATACAGTTAAGTCTGCCTCATATCTTGACTTACATCAAGAAATTGACAATGAGGGTCGGATGAAAACAAAACTTTACGACAAAAGAGATGATTTCAGCTTTCCTATTGTGAACTTTCCGTTTCTATGTAGCAGCATTCCAGCAGCGCCTGCATACGAAGTATATATCTCCCAATTGATACGATATTCCCGGGCTTGTATTTCCTATCATGATTTCCTTAACGAATGTGACCTACCGAAATAGACTACTTACCAGATTTGTAATAACATAAGCAACACGACGGGTGCCACATGTGGAGCAGGATCTGCTTACCCTTCCGGAGCACCTGAGATCACCCCCAGTTTTGGTGGGGTTCGTGTTGCTTAGTCTTTAGTTTTCTATGTTGTGTCATCTGTACTATTATTTGTCTGTTTGTCTTTTTATTTTTGGCCATGGCGTTGTCAGTTTGTTTTCGATCTATGAGTTTGACTGTCCCTCTTGTATCTTTCGTCCCTCTTTTCCAAATTGTAAATCCCGAAAGACGATTTTTTTACATTAAGTAGACTAGTTAGAATACAAAACGACTATGTAATGTCTAGTACGTTGTGATGTTTACGTTTTATCATTCCGATTTAGATATTTTGTAGTTTCATGTTTATCCATATCTTAAAATTACTTCTGAATCGTTTTTCATAAACACATTTCTGGAGAAGTCAATTTTAGGCTATGGGGTACATTATGTGTACTTATGCATGTGTTATAACATCATAAAACACTTGTTAATCGGAACTCTTAATTACATTTCTGGTAGAAATGTTTTATTGTCTGAAAATAATTAGAGTTATATATTTCTATTCCTTTAATGACGGTTATTTTGTCATCATTGAACAAGAACACTTTGAAAACTTATTTTTTTTTTCTAATTCACAAGAGTTTCTATACCTAGCACCAGGAGAAGAACCAAACTGATAGTTCAGTTTTTTTTTATTATTAAATTAACCTAATTGAAGTCTGGCGTTGAATAAAAGCGGATTGCATAAGAAAGATTTGTTTTGGGCTACATGTCATTCCATCATCACCATATAATATATTCTATACAGAAATCCCAACACTGAAGCTTTTGATTGTCAAGGTACTTAAACACATAAACTTAGATTTAACGTCATTTCAACATGGTTTGTCAGCTTGATTGTTTTAGCCTGTGGTTAAAATGATAACATTAACGGTACCAATTTTACAGCACTCTGTGCACTTTTCGGCCATTAAATGTTTGAAAGTCCAAAACCTATCACAAACTTTGAAGAGATGATTAAAACGAAAAACAGCCAAAAGTAAAGCAAAACTCGGTCAGAGCTTTGCAAGGAGGGAGATACATTCCTTTTGAAACAAATATAATTTAACAGCAAATATCCGTATGTCCGTAAAGCAATTGTCTACAACAGCAGGCCAAAAATGGTCACAATGACCAAACGAAAAATAATGAACATACAACTAAACCGACACTACACAGAAAACTATAGATTGAACAATACGTAAACCCCATTAAGAACCGTGGATGAACCCAAGTGCTACAGAAGGAGAAACAGTTTCTTCGTCCGTCTTGTTTCTCATGTCAATTTAAGAAGCAGCTGTCAACTCGCTTAAGAGGTTGTCATAAATGTGGAAAATAGGAAAGGATTCTGGCAGCGACATGTGGCACATAATTTTGTTATCTGTTATACCCTATAAACAGATATTCCTTTGCGTCTGTAAAACCTTTAAAATAAAACGCCAACTTTACCAGAAAGATCCCTATGTTCATTTGCATTCTTGTAATCAACAACCATCTATCAAAGAAATCGCAATAGGAAACGAAAGACCTAGAATATCGTATCAGCATAGAAATATATAAACTATGTGCAGGTGCGGCTGGAATGTTCCTAAAAATCACAACTTCACAAACGCAAAATGAATACCCCTTTGTCGTAAAATTAAGTTCTGTACCGTAAATTTCCAAATGTAAGTCTTGATATGTAGTAAACTTAATTGTATTGGTAATACACTTTATTTCAAATTCAGTTGGATAGGTGCAATGAACATATCTTAAGCACTCTGAAGTATTCAATGAAAGGGCACCATCTATTTATCGGAATATTAAATTTAACGATAAAACTTATTTTCATTCTTCTTGAGAAGCCCTGTATGAAGTATGCTTCCTACGAATAAAGGATCAAGTTTGATAGAAAAGGAGCATGGTTTTATTGCAATAAGAATGTCGACTAGTTGATTCTTACACGTCCACCAATCGTTACAAATACGTTGAAAATGTTTTAACTGAATTAAAAGAAAAAACAATTCTGGAAATCAGATTTTTTTTTTATAAAGTATTAATAATAATCAATCCCTTCCCGAAAGTAGACATTTGAATCTACGTTGGACATTCGAGTTTATGAAACATAGTTGGACTAATTCTTTCAACCCGTTTTTAAGTTCACAATGAGTAATACAAATGTTAAGGGTAGAAAAGTCAAATTCTTTTATTTTACTGCACAAGGAGAGGAACGTAAATTGTCCCTCCTCTGATAGTTCTTTGGATTTTTTTCACATTCATATCTGATCCACACGGCGTCTATGTAAGTGACTCTGAAGGCTGGTTTTGATTGCTGATAGGCATATATATTTTTATAATTTTGAAATAGATTTCCTGGAGCATACACGGCAAATTAACGTTATCTGTAAGGACATTTATGTATTTCTGTTTAAATGTTTTTTGTACTATTACAGCACGTGTAATTTATGTTATTCATAAATCTTGATACTTTACTAAATTTATGTTTTAGATATTTATGGGAGTAATGATAGGCTCAATGTCACTGGGTCAGGCCTTCCCGACATTAGAGGTTATAGGTAATGCTAGAGGGGCAGCACAGAAAGTGTTTGAAATCATTGACCAGAAATCAGAAATTGACTTCTCATCAAAAAAAGGACTCATACTTGAAAAAGTCGAAGGAAACATTGGATTCAAGAACCTACATTTTAGATACCCAGCTAGACCAGATGTTCAGGTATCATTGACGTGATGTTTAAAGTAGTCCAACTAGTTTAACTTGATCTACAGTCGTCGAGGCACTACAAAAACGTTAAACGAAAAATCATTTGACATATATCAACTTTGCCTAATGAATAATCAAGTTTCTTCTTGAAAAGTGGTAAAATTATGAACTGAAATTAAATACTTTGAAAACAGATGTATTAAATGACGATCAGTACAGAAACACTGAATTATATGCAGATGATATCAACAAGAGCTGTGAAAGAAGTCACAACATTCTAAATTTTATGCGTTTTAATGTTAAACCTAAAGATGTATTTACACTATTTTATCATTATCTCAATTTACTCACTTAGGGTGATTACTGCATAGTTGCATGGTTTTTATTTAGGATGAGATAATAATATGTCCTCAAATAAAAATATTTTACTTTAAGGTCATGTGAGGATATCTTCGGAAAGGAATGACAGATTATATGCGACTAAAGGCCGTTAATGCGTTCATTTGTATTCACTAGTCTAGCATGTGCCTTTCAAATTGAAACTTTTATCAGTTTAATTGTTTGTTTCAGGTTTTGAAAGGATTGTCACTAGAAGTAAGAAAAGGCCAAACTGTTGCATTGGTAGGATCCAGTGGATGTGGAAAGAGCACAGGAATCCAATTGTTACAGAGATTTTATAACCCAGAACAAGGGGAGGTAAGGAATCCAGTTACTGCAGAGTTTTTACAACCCAGAACATGGATCGGTAAAAGAAGAAGAAAAAAAGTTTATTATTTTATGCGTCCGACTCGCTTTTTTTATTTACCTTCACCGGTAATGCTCAAATCCAAACTTTAGAAAGCTAAGGAGGTATAAGACTAAAACACACGAAGCATGGAGACTTATATGACCGAAAGGGACATCAAATAGCCAAATTTATCTAAGGTCATTGGAGAGGAACAAAAATCATAACAATAACGTGTAATTGTTGATTACTAATATTTGATGATTGTTTTTTATATTGATGTATCTTCTTTTTTTCGAAATGTACAATAAAAGCCATTTTAGTTAGTTGTTAGTGTGTGCCTAGGTGGGTCTGAAATGTGAAAAAAGTAAAACAACACGTTGTGAATTTTTTACGTCCGAAGGGCTTTTCTGGATTTACCTTCATCAGGAACGCTTAAAGAATGTATAATATCATAGTCCTCTATGTAAACTTTTGGAAGTTTTCCCTTCAAAAAAACTAAAAATGTAGTGTAATAATGTAATACTTTTACAAATTGTGACTTGGATAAAGAGTTGTCTCATTGGCACTCATACCACATCTTCTTATATCTAATATACTTCAACCAGATTTACTTAGATGGTGAAAATATCAAGGAATTGAATGTCAACTGGCTAAGGAAGCAGATAGGCGTAGTCAGTCAGGAACCAGTTCTGTTCGCCACAACAATTGCTGAAAATATAAGATATGGTAGAATAGATGTGACACAAGCAGATATAGAACAGGCTGTTAAGATGGCAAATGCTTACGATTTCATAAAACAGCTACCAGAAGTAAGTTGATGTTGAATTTAATGCATACCTTGATAACGGCTATACAGAATCGAAAATACCTACAACATATCACTTATAAAAGTACTTTATATAAAACAAACTACTTAGTGTATGAACTGAACTTAGCTCACTCAAAATATATCATAGTTGGCTTATTTTGTTTTCAACCAGGATTGCAGCAGTGGCAGTTTTGATTATTTTATAACTTAGGAAATCCAAAGGGCTATAATCATTGGAACACATAAACAACAAAATAAGCTTAGGATCCAAAGGACTATATAAATTGGACCACATATACACCACCAATACCAACTTAGGAAATCTAAAGGGCTGTATTGATCGGACCAAATAAACAACCATTCCATTTAGAATTAAGAATTTGATACAGTGGCTTGCAATCAAAGGGAATACGCCATCATTACGTTGCTTGATAATGACGTACTTCGTGTCGAGCATATGCTTTTGTGTCAATGTGTGTGTGATATTGCTCTTTGTTTCATGGTTAATACGAATTAATTATATCTGTGAACAGGGTTTTGAAACACTAGTGGGAGATCGTGGTGCCCAGTTAAGTGGTGGTCAGAAACAGAGGATAGCCATAGCAAGGGCGTTAGTACGAAATCCTAAAATCCTTCTCCTGGATGAAGCTACATCAGCTCTAGACAATGAGAGTGAAGGGATTGTACAGAAAGCATTAGAAAAGGTATTTGTTGTAAAATTTCAAGTCATTCATTATCATAAGGCCATTTTTTGTCTTTGAATTCAAAATTACAAATACCATTATTTTGTATTTGAGATATTCTAAAGTGGTTAGGTCTGTGAGATATATGTAATAATACTTTAATTATGTGTTATAAGCATTTGAGAAAACTGCAAAATAATTGATTACGTTTTCGTCTTTAAATTTTCTCTCAAAGCTCTTCAACTTCGTACTTTATTTGACCTGTTTAACCTTTTTTATCCCAGCGTCACTGATGAGTCTTTTGTCGACGAAACGCACATCTGGCGTACACAATTTTTGTCTTTGTATAAATGATGAGTTTTTTTATACTACTTCCGCTTTAGTGTTAAAAAATAATGTCATAAATTATCAAAAAACTATTAATAACAAAAACATCAGGAGAACTAAAAGAGATAGCTGACAAATGATCGAAATTCAAGATAATTGGGAGGTCCAGCAAAACTGCAAGGTTATGTAATGGATTCATTGCCCTAAATGATGATTTCTATTCATTTTTAGATTTTTTGGATATTATGTGTAAACCAGTAATAAATAGATCAAATCCCTGAACAGAATAATGTATCAAGAAGCAAATTAAGATCTGTAAATCGTTTCATTGGTCTTACAATTTTCATAACTACTTAGATGGTTATTTGATTTCGGAGAGTAAAGAATTATTTTTTATCCTAATTTTTTCCGTAAATATAATTTTTTTCATATTTTGTCAGATGAGCCATTTAGACCACCTTTGGAACCTTTATTGAGCAAAACGAAATTTATCCCATAACATGTCATTTACAAAAATGATAATATGAGTTCAGCCTCTTTTTTTGATAAAATGTTGATACTTGAATTCCTCAGAAAATATGTTAATTGGTTATTTGTGGCCAAATATATGTTTAATGACAAACAACCTACCGAATTCAAAAGTTCATATATGATTTATGTAGGCCCAGGAAGGCAGGACAACCATAGTGATTGCCCATCGGCTGTCCACTATAAGAAATGCTGATGTGATTTATGCAATAGACCAAGGAGTTATAAAAGAGAGTGGAACACATGATGAATTAATGGGGAAGAAAGAATTGTACCACCAGCTTGTTATGTTACAAGTAAGCAACTGCAATGTGTTTTTTGTACCATACTTATGATTTTTAAAAACTGTTGAATACTAAGAATGGTCATTTTAATTCAAGTTAACAAACAATTTTTAAAAAAATTGGACACCATTATGAACAGTTAGTGTGTTTGAGCTTTTGATTTTGCCATTTGTTAAGGGACTTTCCGTGTTAAATTTTCCGTGGAGTTCGGTATTTTTATCATTTTACTTTTACTTTAAAGGTTTAAAGGTAACATTATCAAAAATGCTGAAATATGATGACTAAGAATCTTTTCGGTTTTCAAAATAAGTTTTACGATTATAAGTTTTTATCTTACTTTACAGTCCAAACTCGTCATAGCAAAACACTCAACAGGTTTATATGTGAAGTGCTCATTTTTGGGAATCCTTGCATAAATTGATTTTTAACATAGATAGCGTAAAATTTTCTTACTTTAATTTTAGACCAAGCATCATGACAAATCAGAAGCAGGTATGTTTAATTTATTAACAGAAATATTGAAACACTCTTAATGTAGGCGACAGTAGTTTACTGATGTTCATATCTCGTAAATCTAACGATTGTTTAGGTAGAGACAATTCAAATTAAGATAACAATCCATAACCGAGGGAATCGTATAAACTCCCAAAAAAAGGAGCGATACCATGTGCGTCGACAGGGTAAACGTTTCTGCTATTCATGCATCACCTGCCATGCAAATTCACATCCAGTTAAAATGTCGCAATCGAGAATAAGACACAATCGATAAGATTACAGATCAGATAACTATACTCGTATCTAAAGATCTTATATAGCGAAAAAATGAGTTGAAACACCATCACGTCGTATTGGTCAACCAGTTTGTGAAAATAGTCGTAAAACTTCTGCGGTATCGATTTCAGCCGTTCTTCCTCATAACTCTGTTAGAGCAGTTTATGTGTAAAGAGCACACTCCTGTTAATGAAGTCCGTATCGTTTGAACATGCAAAAGTGTAATGTGTTAACTGAGATATGTAAACGGAGCAGAGGGTATGTTACTGCTGTGAAATGTGTAGTTGATATTTGGAAAGTTGAAATCCACACGTTTTTCATAGATTCTAGTTTGAAGTCGTCTGTCTGTGTCAATATCGTGGAAAATAACAAGATATTAATCATACCTTCTTCTTACGGTAGTATTCTTAATATCAAATTTATTTCAATAATTTACTTCGATATATGAGATGTGAGCAATTATTGAAATTTGGTTTATTGAGCAACAGAACATCATCAATATATCTGAAAGTGAAATAAAAAACCTTTGCAAAATGCTTGTTCTTTTTGTCTTTGATTCTGTATGAATTCTGCTACATGAGTAAAAAAACAATTCGGCCAGTAGTGGTGCACAATAAGCTACCATTAAAATATTATACCGACTGTCAGCTAAATTAATGAATCCACCAAACTCAACAAATATGTTGTCGATAAGTCCAGCATTTTCATGATATCATCTTCCGCCGGGTATTCGGATCCTGAATCCGCGGAAGGATCCGAATCCCGAGTAGCAATTAATGAAAACTTTGTATCAGTGGGTAGGTAAAATATGGATCCGATTCCCACAGAGTATAATTTCTTCCGCGTTTTAGTTTTTAGAATTAGGATGGTTCTTTACAAAGTGAGATCATTGATGACCTTAAACGAGGAATTTGTATCTACTTTTCCCATTTTTGTAGACAAAGCTCTGTTTAATGTTACGATGTAATGGATTTGTCAACTTGGAATAGGAAATAGTAGTGGAAAGCGTAGACATCAACTTTTTTTATATTACTTAACAATTACGTGATTGGTTGATTGATTGATTAACTCAATCAATACTCCACATAGAAAATAAGGAATAACAAAATGAAATCAATGTTTCACAATGTTGGTCATCGTCCTTAATTTGTAGATCGTCTTCTTGGTGCCTCAACTCTCTAGAGCATTGTTGTTCTGTAATAGATCTCACCTGTCCTTTAATCTCAATATTATATACTTATGGGATTGTCCTTGTATTTAGCGTTGGGACATACTACTAGGTGGTTTTAGAGGCTAATCCTGTAAAAGCACATAATTTCACTTTGTTTGAGGTCCTCCGATCCAGATTGGTTTCATTCCATTGTTTTTCAACTCCGACTTTGTGATTAATTGAAGATGGATATGCACTGCAGCAACGCCACTGCATTTTCGAATTTATCATATATATTCTAAGATAACGTGTATATATAAATTCATACGGTTATCATTTACAGTTGTTGAGGAGCTGGAACATACATTATTTACTGACGAAAATAATCTGTTGGAGAAAGGCTCATTGATTCGTCCACGGACATTCAGCACATCCTCATTGAAAAATCACAAGCTTCAATCTCAAGTGTCTGTTGTTAGCTCAGCAAGCGAAAGTGAACAGAAAAAGGTTGGGTTTTTCAAATTTTTTATTATACTCAACAAATTCATCTAACTGAGTGTCGAAATTGTTCAAGTTTAAATTGTTGTTTTTCTGTATATTTTTCACACTTGTATACCGTTATCTAAAATAAGATATATATTCTCCATAATATTTCCACAATTTCAATTTGTTAATGCTAGGAATAAAAGTTTGAATCATTCGGATTTTTTTACAACAATTCTTGATTAAGAAGTATCAATTGATCCATAGTATACTTGCTCAAAACAAGTTCGTTTTAGATAAGTTTGAATGATTTTTCATTATAGAAAAAAGATACCGAAGGTATCCCAAATGTTCCAATGACTAAAATTTTAAAGATGAATGGACCAGAATGGCATCTTATTGTGATTGGTATCATTATATCAATTCTTGCTGGAGGTTCTCAGCCATTATTTTCCATCATCCTGTCAGAATTTTTGAAGGTAAGTAGAAATTCATATTTATTGAGTTCAATTTTCTTGATTATTAGTTATTTGATTTTTGTGATGAAAAAATTAATCAAGTCGTCATGGAAACTTTTTTCCAAATTTTAATCATATATTTTATCAGCAATCAAAGTACAATACTCTATTTTGCGGTGTGAATCAATGTTGATACTATAAATCCTGTGATATGTTAGAAAATATACAATACAAATCTCCTCCTTCAATAGTATATAGGAAAAACATCTGAATTATCTTATCTTTACCCTAGTATTCTTCATTCTAAACTTAAAGACAGATTGACAGAATAAGTCAAACTTCCCTCATAACAAAGATTGGTCAACGCAGAAACAAATCTGGCTTAGGAAGATATAAATCATAAATAAAAAAAAAACACTTTGATTCGAACAAAAAAAATAAAAACGTGTATAATATTTGTTTTATGTTCAAACTGAGATTACTAGTCTCAGGTTCAAATGGTATAATGATGTGTTGTTTGTTTATTTGGTACACTTCAAAATATTGCATAGTCCTTGGAAATTGTTATTAGAACATCAATCAATTACTTAAATTCAATATGATTGCTAACATTACTTGTGATGTTTTGAGTATTCGTATGGATATGTATAAGCTATAACAGATACCTTTATAGAAAAGGCAAAACAATGGTCTGCAGTTTGAGCCATTCCCTTCATTAAAAAAAATAGTTTAAATATCTATGACGTCACAGATTTCCAGAATACTTTACTGTCGGAAACATTTGGCATTCAAAAGTGCACTCAAAGATTATATATGTCTGTAAGAGAAAATATACAAATGCAAAAACAGCCTGTGCAATCCAACCTATATCTATTTCATTTGAGCCACGTTTTTAATGCAAAAACCGGCAGATTTTTTATTTAATATGATACATATTTGTTGTCTTAATATAGAGAAGATGGTGTTTATTTTTATAACCTGGTACACTATATGTGGTTTATGTGTTGAGAATGTTGCTGCATATACTTGCTTTGATGCTAAATACCTTTTTTGGTGTTTTAGGTGTTCACATACGACGATGACGAAGCAAAGTCTACATCTGAACTGTTAGTTATTTATATTATGACCATAGCTGTTGTTTCAGCTATTTTTAAAATGATCACTGTAAGTCATGATAATCTTAGTTAACATGCTAGTTTTAGTCATTCGTCGTCTCCTTTAAATTGGAATAAAACTTTTCTTCTAAAACAGCTTGGTAAATAATTGACCTATTGCTTATAATATCTGAGAAATAGACCAAACTACAAAAACCAAACATTGTCAAATGAACCATGAAAATATACAGTATATAACCACTTTATATAAACAGTAATTTCGCACTGTTGTTACTGAAATAAAATAAATGAAATAAACCTGTTAAAAATCAAAATTAAAATCATGAAAAATACTGAAAATGTCATAAAACTGCAAAACGTAAGTCAATGATACCTGTATCATTCCCATGACGAATAATATGATATACCGTAATCATCAACAACATTGCCTTTCCACTGTTAAGAAATGAAATTAACACTGTTTGTGCGCCCGAAGCGCTTTCCTGGATTTATCTGAAACAGCAATGATTTAACCCAAAAATTATGACAACCAAGGAGTTTAAATACCGAAATACGTAAAGAGCTATAAGACCAGTAGGGACATAAAAAAAACCAGAATTCATCTAAGATGAACTCTGCCTTACCTAAGCTGTATTTGGCAAAACTGTCAGAAATTTTTTATCCTCAATACTCTTCAACTTCGTACTTTATTTGGCATTTTTAACTTTTTTTTATATTCTAGCGTCACTGATGAGTCTTTTGTAGACGAAACGCGCGTCTGACGCAAATACAAAATTTCAATCCTGGTATCTATGATGAGTTTTTTCGTAGTTAAAATATTAGTTTCGTAATATTTTTTTTTGTGTATCAACGGGAAACTTAAGAAAATAATGCTAGAAATGATGTCCGTACCGAAGGAATGAACTAAAAGTCTATCAGGAGTGGAATCGACTATGTGCTAGTAAATGAAAACCTTGTATAAATTTCGTGGGTTTGAAGAGCTTTCATGGATTCAACTTCATCAGGAACACCCGAACTACCAAATTAAAAAAAAAACAATAGTAAATAATAATTCAAATGAAAATATCTGATAGAATTATGATTGATGTCCAGTCAAATATACTTTTTTATAGTTTCATTGTTTTAACAAGTTTTGGATTTTCAAATATTTGGCCTCGAGCATCACTGAGGAGACATTTATTGTCGAAATGCGCATCTGATGCAGAAAAAAAATTGGTATCGTTAATGTTATGTTATGTTTATTTTATCAAACCAGACTATTACCCAAACTAGAAATAGGACAAAAATTCAATAAAAATTCTTTTTAATATCCCTGGAATGTCTGATAACAACCAAATGTTGGGTACTTGGCATGCTTGGTTTCTGTTTTGATAATATTGTATACCTATACATATATTGTAGTTTGTGACGTTCGGTACAGCAGGTGGAAACTTAACTGCAAGAATGAGGAAGTTAGCTTTTAAGTCAATTGTTTGGCAGGCAAGTAAACATTTAAATACTATCAAAACCAATTGTCTATTAATGAAATAGATAGCTATAAAAGATAGAAGAAATAATGAAGGATTATGGAAATTATGGAAAAAATCATAATAAGAAAGACAAGTATAAAATAACAACAATTTAAAACAATATTTTGCAATACGAACATATTTAAGTTAACTAATTTAAAAAGTAAAAAGCCGTCGAATATTTGTTTGTGATTATTTTTATTAGAATATGAGAAATAAAACTTTAGATCGTATGAGCCTTTTTAATATATCAAATATGCATGTGTATTGTTTAGCTGTATGTGTCTTTTGTTATTTCTGATGTTGTGTTGCTGTCCTATTAACGTTTACCCCACATCTTGTCTATTTTTGGGGGGTTTTTTTTGTCTCTCTTTTCGTTTGTTTATGTGTTTGCCTGTCCGTGGATTGTGTTTATGATTGCGGTAAGCTATTTGCTGGAACTTAATTATATGAAGATATTCATGAAGTATACATTAACACCGGTCAGACATGTTAAGGCCCAATTAAAAGATCTTACAATCTTAAATCAAAATGAATTATGATTATGTGAGCTCTTGCACCGTTTATTTAATATTTTCATTGGTTTCTTTTGAATTTTGAGTTTAGTTTTGATAATGATATTTTCAAAGACGAGTTTTCAAATGTTGAAATTCAACGAATTAAAACAATACACGAGCATATCTGTAATCTACAAGGTACAAGGTATTGATGTATTTCATTCCTCATTTGTTTCATCTTACCAAACTATACGTACTTACATGTATTTGGTCGTTACCACTGATGGCATACAGTCTTTTAAAAGAAATATAAACTTTATTGTAAATTTTATTACTGTTAAGTGTAAGCGTCTGTAATGTACCAAGAGCCAACACGGGTATGGACTAATGTCATTACACGGTCCTTGTGTATATTCCTGACAATTCAACATGTTAAGGGATCTGCTTCTTATTATAAATAGTGCTATGAACCAGATAATATTATCTAAATAGAATCAAAAAACCAATCACTTCGATATTCTCAGTAAACTATTTGTTTATACGATAACGATAGGCATATCTCAGTTGAAATAGATATAAAAGTATAAGTAGCTTTTTAGCTTCTGGACACACTTTATGATATTAAAAGAAAAAAATGTATTGATGTCAAAAGGTTCGGACATTACAATTCCTTACAGTTGAATATGAAATACGGCTTATTTTTTCAAGCATAAAAGTAAATTCTTTGATTACACTTTTGAAATGTAAGATATTAGAAAAGTTTTCCTGTAAAGGGCTGTATTTGATAATAAAAAAATCATTGTTTCACTGAAATGCAATTATGGATATAACAAATTATATAATCCTGGTATCTTCAGTGAGTTTTTACAGTGGGACGATACCACTGATGATGGAAGTTTCGTCCCCGAGGTTGTTACCAGTCTGGCCTGAAATACTAAGGTTTTTCTACTCCCAGTAATAGCTGGAACAACTTTTCGAATTTGTTGGTTTTTATTGCTCTACAACATCTATAATTTGCGATAAAATACTAATATTAAATCTGAAGCCGTAAGTTAATGCACTGAAGCCATAAGATAAGAAAAAGACAGACCAAATGTAACAGGTATTCAAACAAAGAAGGAGTGGCTAATATGACAAAAGGACATCACCCCCGGATTTTGGTGGGTTTGTGTTGTTCAGTCTTTACTTTTCTAGGTGTTTTGTACACTGCTGTTTGTCTTTTCGTCTCTCCTTTAAATCAAAGCCCTTGGTAATACTCCCACCATAGCTTGGAGTTATAGCAGATTAAACTGAATATTAGTTACATCCTGCGTTACCTGCGAGCTATTGTCTGGTAATGAAGTAGATAACTGATTCATACTCGACCAAATCGTAGAAAGGATGTGTAACATTAGAAAAATTTACATTTTGTAAAACACTTACCTGACTTATGTGTGGTGACGACCTAGATATGTTTGTAGGGACGATATACTTATGGTGTTCTTTCAGTGGAATAAATAAGTGTCGTTAACACATGCTGTTACAAAGCGAACCTATTGTGAAAGGAGGAGACATTTTTAGAATCAATAATTCTTCGTGCAATTGCAAAAATGTAATTTTTTTCAGTAATTGTGTAGAATTCTATTAATTCTGTTTAGTAATGAATAGGATTATATGATCTGGATACTTCACTTAAGAAATGTCAGGTGTAATGTCACTATGAATATGTTGAAATTGAAATATTTTGTCTTAAATGGCCATTTTTTCACTTACTTCATTGTGAAATTAGCTCGGACCCAATGCATTATCAGAAAGATGTGCTATCGAAACATCTTGTAGCAAAACATCTTTTTGTGTAAGGCCTTGACTTATATCTTCATATAATTGACAAGATTTCAAAATGAGAAAGTATTTGTTGGGATTCGAGCAATTTGGCTCAATTTTGTAAGCACTTTTTGGCTTGCAATGCTTTTCAACTTCGTGTCTGATTTGGCCTTCCAACTTTTCTATTCTAGCATCACTGATGAGTCTTGTGTAGACAAAAAGCTAGTTTAAAGTTTTAAAAAACAGGACCCTACAAGATATTATTTGATATATTTTATCCCTCTTCATTTTTTAATTCAAGGGACAAAAAATTGCCTCATTTTATATTTTCTTTAACACTACATTGTAGATTTAAGGGGTTTATTTTGCATATCCAAAATTCTTTATTACTGAAAGAAACTTATCAACGAATAAGAACTTACCATGAACAACGAGATAGATGCTACATAGAACGGGATTCATTTACAGTTTCGGATCACCTGAGATCATCCCTGGTTGTTGAGTCTGCGAGACATAGCGGTCCTAGATTCCGTCGTCGGCGTCGTCAACATTTAGGTTTAGTCTGTGGTTAAAGTTTTTTAGACATCCAAAAACTTTGTCAAACCTTCATAGAATTTTATGAAACTTTGGCAGAAGTTTTTTAATGATTCAGAGATAATGCCTGAAGCAAACTTTTGAAATATATTTTTTTCATTTTCAATACTTTTTCTGATAGATGGACTTAGTTTTTTACAGTTAACATTTAAAGACAGTCTGGGATTATATTTATTTGACATGATACATGTGTAAACCTTCGTTGATTGTAATGAAACTTGGACAGAAGCTAATCTTCAAGATCAAGAAAAAGCATCCAAAGAAAAAGTTCGATTATTTTTAAAATTCTGTATTTTACTGATAAATGGACTCACTTTTTAAGTCAACATTACACTTTTACACTGACAGCAGCAAACACAGGGGAGACACAGGGTTCCGCAGAACCCCTTACGATTTTGTTTTTGTTGGGTTCATATTGTTCAGTCAATATGTAGTGTTTTGTAGACAGTAGAGTATATTTTTGTCGTTTTTGACATAGTTATGTAGATCTCTATTCGCCCCTTCGGTATCTCTGCCTGTTTTAGCATTACCTAAATACTACCTCAATTATGTTTTGTGAATTAATTGTGGTAACAATCTATGCAATATTGTTATGTATGTTACAAATGTTTAATAAAAAAATATCACTCGTCCTGAGCTTGAATAAACATAACATATTATTACAGACATAATCGCATGGTTGCATCTATTATTAGACGAACTATTGCTCATTTGGTCAACATAAAGAAGCTTTTTGAAGGAGGGGAAAGGAAATCAGAAATGATTGAGTTATAGAACTGTAATCGCAACATACACTATGACTCAAAGCAATATTTGGTTTTCAGTGGTGAATGCTATCTATAAATGTTGAATATCTATGTTACAATTTTTAATTTAGGATGTAAAATTCTTTGATGACCCTAGAAATACTGTTGGTTCATTAACAACTAGACTTTCATCTGATGCTGCACTTGTTCAAGGGGTGAGTTTATTAAATTAATTTGATTAATTTATAGAAAGTTTTAGTCCATATACCCGTTCCTTTAAACTCTTTAATATTAAAGGAACACTATAATTTTTGTGCATCTGTTGTGCTTTTTCTGTATATGCCTTCATAATGAGCGCTCAAACTCCCAAAAACTGTAGGCCAACAATGTATAAATACTTAAATACATGAGATGTCAAAAAAGAATAACCAAAATCATCTAGGTGAACTTTGCCTGAGGAAGTTAAGACCTTACTTTCGGAATAAATTCCTAATTTATCAACTGAGAATTTAAGAAATGTATGTTATCAATCATGTCAGAACAGAATCACTGAATACTGAGGTGATGATACTCTCGGGGGCTTACAGTCCAACAGCTGCAATATCGACCATTTGCTAATTTTCTCTATTCTCTATATTTTAGCATCCCATTCTACTCAATTCTTTATTTTTTTTGTCTATGTTGATTTACTCCATATCTTGTTTTGCCCTTTATTCTCTATTTATACCATTTATTCTCTATATTCTCTAAATACCAACTACACTCTTCAAACTACCTGAATACCGGAGGATTTATATTTCCAAAAGTGACATTAAACGAGTAGCCAAAATCATCTAAAGTCAACTTTGCCTGTGATGGTTGGAACCTTAGCTTCTTGATAATTTCCAGATTTAAGTTATCGTTTGATAGTATAAATGTGCAGTAAGTTCTTAAATTGCCATGAAACTTATAGGTATTGCAATATTCTTCAAACCCACATCTGGTGCAGTAAAATTGGTATCGTTAGTGATATTCAAAGAAATAAATTGTCAAATTATGTATTAGCATTGTACCAATTTTTGAGGTGCGTATTATATGTTGAATTCGACATATTTCATTCATAGAGTTGTATTTCACTTCAGGCTACTGGATCCAAGATTGGCGTAACTCTTGAAGCATTGGCTACCATCCTAGTGGCTTTAAGCATTTCATTTTACTATAGTTGGAAGTTATCACTGGTAACGCTTGGATTTTTGCCGTTAATGATAATTACTGGAATAGTTCAAAGTAAAATCCTGACAGGATTTGCAAGGGGAGACAAAGACTCTTTAGACCATGCTGGAAAGGTAATGTTTTTCTAATCAAATGATCGGGATTATGCAAACAAAAAATTAGAAGATTTTATGTTCACCAAGCACTCAAAACATAACGATTAACAATTTGTGTAACAGGAACTAGCCAGCTCGATACGCTATTACATAGACTGTTTGGTTTTAAGAGAGAAGATAGAAGAAGGGGAGAATAAAAAAATACTAAACCATATCCAAAAATAACCCAACGAAAATGGCAAACAACAATAACAAAACGCTACACTGAAAAAAATAAAGAATCGGTACCACAAAATTCCATAACATTGAGGTGACTCAAGCAGTAGGATAAGTAATTTCTGCATTTACCTTGTGAAACCCACCATGTGAAAATACTTTGACGAGTGTATAGTTATTAGGCATCACACATTAGCGGAAAAGTCAATGTCTCTTATCTAATCCAAATACATCACAACATTCATAACCCTCGACCATGTAAATTCCCTATCCTGAAATGCATGTCAATGTTAAAAGTCTGAAATGAAATTTTTTTCTAGAACAACATTGAAACATGACCGAAAAACTAAAACAAAAGCACCATGGACTCGTGTAGGCAAAGATAGTGGTAAGTCCAGGGGCTTCGGGATGGTAAGCAATTCCGGTTTCACTAGTGGTGCATATTGAGTTTCCCATTGCAAGTAAAAATACGGTGATGCGTCTTATTCGGTATTGACACAGTCGGGGAAAAGATGACGGATTTTGATGGGTCAGCCAAATCAGTATGAAGTACATAAAACTTACGAAGGGATTACTTTTCCTCCTTGGTGGAATAGCTGTCTATAAGGGATATCATGATAGAAGGTGCATACCTTAGGATATCGTGTCATCTTGGAGATATAAACTCCATATGAAGGCGCTAATGGAATGTTGCTTCACAGAAATGGAAACTGAAATCATCTCTTTTGTCGTTAAGTTTAGTTCTCACACGATATTCGTTTTCAATTATTAGATTTTATTCAAGATATGAAGCAGACTTATACCGCATCTTCTTACTTTTATGTTAGCTGCATTTGTTGTATATTGTATTTTAAGTTGGTACGAAACAGTCTACATAGTCATTAAACTCTGAATAATTCAGTGAAAGAACATCATCTATATAGAAGAACGTGCAGTTAAAGTTCAATGACAGCTTCTTCTTTTTTTTTTCTTTTCTTTAGAAGGTACTGTATGAGGTCTGCCTCAAACAATAAAAAATAATTCGGCAAGCAGAAGTACAGAGTTAATTCCCATAGGAATGTCGATTGTCTGCTGAAAATCCGTTTTCCAAACGTATCAAATATGTTTTCAATTAAAAAAGAAAACAGCATCTTGATTTATGGGAACTTTGTTTGAATCAGGGTGTTTGATTTTTCCAAAGTATTTTTTTCCTCCTGAAACAAGAAATTAATACCTGCGTTGGTCAATCTGTTTTGTGATACAAAGCTTCGATCTGTCTTTTAGTTTAAAATGAGGAAAATTGGTGTAAAAAAAGAGATGTGAAATGTTTTAAAACATTGCACGAGGAGAGAGACTTAGATTGTTTTAGAACCATACAGATCAGTTGATTTTTAAAGTACCACCCCAAGAGTAAGTTGTTTAACAGTACCTATAGCCCCTTTTAGATTGCTGATAAAAGAGATTAAGATATAGAAAGAGGTTCGTTGAGCATTTACAGACCCAGCAATATAACGTTGTTTGTAGGGACACTTATGATATTAGGTATAGATTTACATATATATTTCTTTATAGATATTATCAGAAGCTATCGATAACATAAGAACAGTGGCATCACTTACAAGAGAAGAAACATTCATAAGACTGTATAATGAACATATAGACCATGTTTACATGTAAGATTGTCTGTTTATTTAATGTAAAAAATCATATCGGAACCATAAAACAGCATTCGAAGGTCATGTTGGTTAGAGTCATCGAATGACCTGATTGCTTGTTTTAAAAGAGTGGCAGATGATGACAAAGTCAAAGGGATTTTCAAATTCCTTAAGTCGAAGACAAACTCCGTGATAACACTTGCAAAAAAAAACGTCTAAGAGACAAACAACCGTTTACAAAACACAACATATAAAACTGAAGACTGAGCAACTCGAACCCAACCAAAAACTTGGATGATCAAAGGTGTTCCGAAAGGGTAAGCAGATCTTGCATCACATGTGGCACCCGTCATGTTGCTCATTTAAGGACAACTTCGATGATTTCACATGCGTGGAAAAGAGGGCTTAGTAGTGGTTTGGAACAATTGGAACATATATGTCTTCATCTCTGGATAGATGCGTCCAACATAGTCACCAAACTTTAAATTACTTAGTGAGAGAACATATTTTTTTAATAACGGAGCGTGAAGTTGAAGGACAATACTCGTTTCTTTTCATTCTTCCTCATCATGTATGAAGTCTGCCTCATATAAATAAAGGAACATTGATTCTTCACCGACCGTGCAAGGGCTGTATAGCCAGTCAAGGTCGTTAAAAACTTCCATTTGTTGTTCACCGAGTTGAGATTCCTACTTTTTAAAACCACAGGGCCAATCCAGCTATCGGTGGCCGTTTCGCTACCGATGATATAACATGCCCAGTAGTTAGCACTCATGAACCAACATGATTTATTTTTTAAGCAAACTTTTTCAGTAAATTAACTGTTCATAGAAGAAGTGTTTGAAAACTTGACATTAAAGATTACCTTTTGTTACAGGGTTTATTTGGGCATACTATGCTGTGTGATGTGTTTTCACATTCTTCGCTTATCACTTTCTCTTCAACTTATGACTTGTTAATGTCCATTTAATATCTTCCGTCTCTATTTTAAGTACATGATATGACCTTACAAATCATTCAGAAAGATATCGCTTATGGAGAAAATTTGTAAAATTTATATTTCATATAGATCATCTAGGAGGAGATCAGTCTGGAATAGTTTTGTTTATGGTATATGTTACTGTATGGCTTTATTTCAATTACAGATCATCTAGGAAGAGATCAGTCGTGAATGGTTTTGTTTATGGGTTATCTAACAGTATTATGTTTTTTGCCTATGCTGGTGCCTTCACCTATGGATCTTATTTAGTTCAGTCGGGAGAACTTGAGTTTCACCTTGTTTTCAGGTAAGCAGTATGTTGTCAATATACATAAACATAAACAAATGTCTTATTTCTAAGTCATATATTCACTTAAAAAGTGAAATCTTTTTGAAATCATGTGACCTTTCTAAAAGTGAGGTTGGTCTCATGCTTTATACCAAGATCGATAAGGTCCTGCAGGAGAAGTGTAAATACTTATACCAAAATATCAAGCTACTCTTGCCAATATTTACATAAACGTTATAAAGAAAATAATTATTCCTGAGTTATTACAATGTTTTAGACTTACCTCACCTTGAACAATGGGCCAGCACAAGTTTTTGCATCATCCGTCGATGGTCAAAGGACATCTTTTCTTCTGAACAGGACTTTGACTAAAATTCAACGGTCTAACTATATTTTTTGGTGATTTATTTTCCTGTGACCCAAACAACTTTAACCACATGGCATTAAACAAAATAAAAAGATAGAAATCTGACGATTAAAACCAGAAGCTGAAGAACTGATTAAACAACATAAATAGGACTACCAGAAATATATCCACAAAACATGCAAAAAAATTCAAACCCGAACAAAAACTGGAGTCTTAACTCATGAGCTTCGGAAGGTTGGGTAGTTCTTGCTCAAGTTAAAATTCAGTGGCATTCGATGATAAGTCATAAACGAAAAGCGATGGACGGGATTGTGATTGCGATTATGCCTTATAACTGGTAATTTTTTACTCAGATGTCCCGTAACAGTCTACAAACTCACGATGGTAACCGTAAAAAATGAAGAGTTGACTTAAGCTAACCCATTAAGAACCTTGATTCGACAGCAATCTTGTGAGCAGTAACCCTGTGTCACAAAAATCCTGATAGGAAATGCAAGCCTTGGAATATTGTATCAGCTGGGAGTTATATACTCAAAGGTGCAGATTAAATTCAGAACTCAACAAGGTTATTGCAAATCTTAGTTCTAATCTAGATGTCGATTTTCAATGGTCAGTATAGGGCAATATTTTTCTCTTTCTAAATCGAAGTATTTGCATCTATGTTGGCTTTTGGGTCACAAACATTTCTAACTGTGTTTAAGAAGTTCTAAATGAGACTATTATAAAGGGAGATGTCATATATATATATATATAAATATATATATATATATATATATAACTATTACACGAGGAGACGTAATTTGATTGTATGTACTCGAATCAATCCTTTGAATTTAAAAGAGTCCACATCTAATATAATCTGCCCCTACAGCTTAAGTCTCACATATGATTGGTTTTGATAGCTGATAGAATAATTTAGTAACATGGAATGAGGTTTTGCTGAACATGAGACACACCAATGATATGACGTTTGTTTGTATGGATACTTTTATGTTTAAAAAAAAATAAAGCGAAAGAAGATTCAATTCTTCATATTTGATTTAAACTCAACAGAACAGTCAATGGTATAAAATACGGAGATGTGGTATGATTGCCAATGAGTCAAATATCCAACAGAGTTCAATATTCATAGCCTAATATTCAGATACATACTTTTTTACAGAGTATTTATTGCAATTATAATTGGAGGAATGTACGCCGGTAGAACTTTGTCAATGTCAATGGATTTTAAAAAAGGACAAATAGCTGCTGCCAGACTATTTCATATCATAGAAAGAAAGCCTGATATAGATGCACAAGAAGAAAAAGGGGATACACCAGTAAGTAACAACGACGTGCTATTCATGACTATGATGATACTATCATAACACATATAAAATGTGTTTAGAAAAGTGTTTCTTATATATTTTGTCTTGATTAATATTTATTTCATTAAATCCAAATCCTACCAATTCCAATTTCTACTAGTATTTGTTGAAACTCTGATTGTACTTAATTATAATCAGCATAAATTATAATTCTAATTCAGTCTACGAGTATGAAGTTGATTTCTGATTTGTACTGACATTAATTTTCTGGAACAGTTTTTATATACTAAACTAAATGGTGAAGTAGTGTATTAATCTAAATTATTCTGTCTTGCAGGATAAAATTGAAGGAGATATTGAGTTTACGAAAGTTAAATTTCGTTACCCAACTCGGCCAGATGTACAAGTTCTCAAAGGACTGACTATTCGGGCCAAACCAGGAGAAACTGTGGCTTTAGTTGGGACAAGTGGTTGTGGGAAAAGTACAACAGTACAATTGTTGGAAAGGTTTTATGATCCTGAAGAGGGTCAAGTGGTAAGTTTTGTATATTTTTCACAGAATTCTATTGGTATTATCTTGAGGAAAAAAAATAAATAAAAATACCAAACTTTTTTAAAAAGTATTCAGATTTTGAATGAATGGTAAAATGAATTGCCAATACACTGAAATGCAGTCAAGTTTAGCGATTGATAATTCATTGATAACATTCTGGCGTATCACAAACAAACAACTTGTAACGTCTCACTTCATTGACCGAAAGATTTAAATACAACAACAATTGTTGTGTGCACGTGAATTGACACAGGTGACCGACAATGGAATGTACTACGTTACTACGAACGTAAAAAACAATGATTTTTAATCGAAATAATTAAATAAGTATTTTGTGAATTTCAAATAGTGGGGTCGAAATATTATACTAATAATTTGTGTTAAGTAATATTCTTCATGCATGCAGCACTTGTACCGCACTATGAAAAATATAAGGATAAAATAAAATACATGTGCCGCTTTTATACGGATGAATGTATGAACCACTTTAATTTCTTTCATATTGACGCTAGGTTATTATCCTGACAATGTCGTAGTTACTTATAATAAGGATCTCATAATACTGATCCATTTCAAATTTATGATGGGTTGCACATTCCTCTTTTATTGTTTTCATGCTATAAAACGAAAATAAAGAAGCTAAGCGTTTGGTCATTCAGAAATGACGTGTCATAAACGAGCAAATTGTCCCTGAAAGATCGTACCATGTGTGCACGTGAATATAGATGTACTATGCAATGTACTATCATGGTCACCACGAAATTCAAATGAATTCAGTGAAGGCATGTTGGTGTAAAAAGGTTTGAAATGTTTCATCGGCGAAGATTTTATTTTTGCATGTGTGGAACTAAAAAATAAATAAATACTTGTGAGAAATGTCGTAGTTTATAAGGAACTATATAAATGTACTGTTTTCGATTTTGATTGGTTGAAAATTTATCCTTTAATTTCATACCGTAAGAATAGAGCTTTGCATAACATTGTTGAACAATCCGCCAAAGTAACGTGTGGCATGCGTGCGTATTAAAATGAAATACAAAATCATACATGTATGATAAACTTATAAACGAAATATTAAGAAATTAAGGATGACTACTGTAAAAGTATGTACAAAAATGGAGTCACCTTTTATCAATACATTTAGTGAATAACCACACTGTTTAAAACTGATTGTTTTCTATGCAACTATTTAAATATTTACAATATATAATTTTCAACCGAGGATAGCAAAACAGTTAATTATAAATTAAGAAAGTATATCGCTGGAGTTTATAAAGTACATTTCCTTCCACTGTGCCATGGTTTGCCATCTCCATTTTTTCTCTAAACAAAGCATGGCTGGTTACATGTTCTGAATTTACTTAGAACTTCGGGATTTTTTTTCAAAATCAAGTAAACTAAATCAGAAAAAAAATCACACTATCCTAAAACTTATGAAAGAATATGAATAATGAACATGACAGTTTATAACACAAACCCATTTACTATAAAAATCGAGCAATATCTTTAGTATGTAATTTGGTTATTTTTGTAGTTAAGTACGGTTTCATTTCAAGTACAACGTTAATTCATCAAGTCCATTGAATAAAAGATAAGGCAGGGTGAGCAACTTGACAAAAAAAAGGCAGGATGACGATTTATGTAAAAAATGAGGATAAACGAATAAATATAGTCAGGACCTAACAGACTGAAAAATAGAAAGACAGGACAGAGATAACAACTAAAAAAAAATGCAGGACAAAATGTTTCATCCAAGTCCTTCACCCCCAATCAAAATAAAATGGTAGCTCCCTTAATCCAGGACCAATTGAGAGGAGACAGTTGAATTAAATATTTCGACGTGACTGTTAAGATAAAAGTTTAAAATTTTACATGCACATGTATAAAAGCTAGAATTGCCATGCGATAATCAAGACCGCAATCATGTTCGGGAATACGACGATGGGAGTTTTTAACGACCTTGACCGGCTACGTGAATACTGATCAGTCCATTCAGCTTTATAGTACGCGTGTTCTATTTTCGCAGGTGTGAGGTCGAAGGTTTGAATTGACCAATGAAAACGATCGTTCCTTAACGAGTTAATCTAATAAAGTTTGTTTGACTGATTATGTTGCACGACCTTTCGCTAAGCTAGACCGCAGTTCAGTGTATATTGAAAATTGTATTTGTCTTGCATGTTATTTCTTTTATTCAGACCACGACTTTAGAGAAAAGAAATGCCATGGTGTATTGATGTATTGTTAAGTGTATAAAGCTGCAGAGATGGCGAATAGCAAGTTGTCATGCAGGAAAAATATTTGCCCATTTTAAGATAATTATTAAACGCTGTTTTACGTGGTAAATCATTGCAAATACCTACTATTCAACCTATCCCTCTTATGATAATATTTTATGAAACACAATCTTGAGACAATTATTAGATCAAACTTAAAAGTTGATGCTGCTTATGTTTTTGTCGAGCTGTATAATTTCAAATACAATAACTCCATCAGGGTCACGAGGTAGCCTGGCCAAAAGGATCACTTCATAAATTATGTTGTGGCCTTCACGAAGTAGTTGATTGTTTTAGTGTTTACTTCTTGGTAAATCCCGGAAATCTTCGATCATCCATCCGGCTGTATATCAAATCACTTCCTTTTTACCCGTAATTGTCTCAGTATTCATTAGCTTGTATCATGCTTTGACAAAGTACGTATTCACTCTATAAACGTGTAGACCATTAATTTCGCCTCGATTTTTTCGCCTTTTTCCACTGTTTTCTGCTTGTTTACACTAGTGTTACTATTACGCTTACTTCAAACATATTGAATTGTTATCTAACTGATGGTCATGTTTAATGTTTATATTTTCTTGGGATGCATGTTTTACTTTATAAACGGTTAATCGGATAAAGAACGCTATTTTAATTCATTGTACGCGCTTATAGCATGCCAACACGATGGATACCATATGTGGGGGCAGGATCTGCTTACCCCTTCCGGAGCACCTGAGATCACCCCCGGTTCTTTGAAGGGTTCGTGTTGCTCACTCTTTGGTTTTCAATGTTGTGTTTTATGATTCTTTTGGTCGATTACTTCTAGCACATATGGAGTATGTAAAGAGGTAACATTTAGTGCAAGTTAATTGTAACGATGAATTATGTTCTAGTTTGAACTTTGTTCCTACTCGCTAATTTTCGAAATAAACTGAAGTCCACGGAATAAATGGAATAAAAGTCAATCAAATCAAACTCATCCGCAGTTTGGTGTGGCGATCTGTAAGATAATGATTTAAATCAAAATTTTATTCTGCCGTTTTCATGGACAAAATATTAGTAACTCCAATGTAGCCTGGGATCACATCTAATCTTTACACTACGTAAGTGCTGACTATTAAGCCGGTATTCCAGGCTTACGAACATGCGCAGTTTCTTTGAAATTATGGTATTAAAATTCATAAAAATTACCTTCTTATTACAGACGTTTGATGGTACAAATATCAAAGAATTGAATATAAACTGGTTACGATCCAAGATAGGAATAGTATCTCAGGAACCAGTTTTGTTTGATGCCAGTATAGCAGGGAATATTGCTTATGGTGATACATCACGAACTGTACCTATGCCAGAGATCATTGAAGCAGCTCGATCAGCAAATATACATACTTTTATTGAAAATCTTCCTCATGTAATTATTTAACCAATAAATATTACAAAAAATGGGAATATATTTAAACGAATACAGTAAAATTCAGCTACACTTTTTTTATTTCAAATCTCAAGTTCATGCCGCTTTCAAATGTTGTAAAGATATTTCTTTATTGCAAAAACAGAAAAAAAATGCTTTAATTCTAACAATTTGTTTATACTATTTACTTTCGCATAGTAAAATACCCTACTTACTTACCTTTATGATAATATGGTGAAAGGGTGCTGCATAACAGACACATTCTTTGATTCGACTTATATTTTGGTACCTATATGATTGTAGAGGACAAAGATGAAGCTCTCTTATCTTTTGACAATACAAAGGAAAACCGGATTCATGTTAGGATACCATATTTTGATATATTTAAGTCGACACTTTGAATGAACATTTACATATATCTGTTGGTATATTCTGTGATTCTTTATCAGCTCTGATATGGCCTAGACTTTTTATCAAAATGTTGTAATACTAGAGTAAAATACTTCTTAACAGGGATATGAAACGAATGTTGGTGACAAAGGAACACAACTTAGTGGTGGACAAAAGCAGAGAGTTGCAATAGCAAGGGCTTTAGTGAAGAATCCTAAAATACTTCTACTGGATGAAGCAACATCAGCATTAGATACAGAAAGTGAACGGGTAAGTAACATTATATACTCTATTGTATTAGACTGCTGATTTATATAACTTTCCGCTAAATATGATTAAGTAAGGAGTTGCTGTCTATTCGTTAAATTCCTCGGAGATTTTTCCTATATTGTTACCATTTTTGGACTACTAATTGTATGTAACTTTCCGCAAAATATGATATAATAAGTAGTTTTTGTTCTTTCGTTAAATTCCCTCGGAGACTTTTCCTAAAAATAATATGTTCTTGGCTGAAATTCTGTTTTTTTTATGCTTAATTTACGATTGAATTGAAAGAATCATTGAATTACCATAAAAACTTATATTGGATCAACAGCTTTTCCTAATAGTAAAGAACGGTCCTATTTATCTCACATAGCGGTATGGGTTATTTGAGTAATTGAGTGTATATTTTGCAGGCAAAGATTTTAACTGGTAAATACAAATATGAAGAAAAAAAATCAATAAACTGGTCTTCTGGAATTCACTTATTCGTACTGCTACGCATTCCCCTCTCCCCGCCTATGTCTCCTTAATCCTCCATCCTACGCATTTGGTTTCCCATAATGTTGTTTCACATCCCCTTTTCGTTAACAGAAAGAAATATCTGTCAAGTGAGCCTTACATATGTGCTTCAAGTCTTCAAACTTTCGCAAACATACCTGCCAAAATAGCCTCATTTTGAGATCGTCATAATATTCAGATATCAACAAAAGCTTTACCCGAGAAGATATTTTACTAAGATGTTTTATTAAAAGATGTTAATGCTAATGAAATATATTTTAGGGTAAGGCCTTTTTAATTTTACCATAAACTAATCGTAAAGTGGCCTTTTTATATCAAATAACGGTCAATTCCAACATGGCCATGACGTCATTATTATAACTATTACAACTGACTTTTCTGAAATATTTAGTGTCCAGATTATATTAGTCTATTCATTTATCAGTAGAAGTAACATAAATTTAGAATGATTGAGGAATTTTGCTATTTTTGCAATTTCATGAGCCAAATAATTGCTCTTATACCTCCTCCTTTTTCTTAAAATGTTGATTTTTTCGAAAATTAACGATTTCTACCCCAGTCATAGATAGCCATAGCCATATTTGGCACAACTGTTTGGATATGTTGTTGATTTCAATGCTCCTATCATTTGATTTGGTCTTCCAACTTTCAATTCGATCGCCACTGGTGAGTTTTATATGAAGACAATTGTTTTGTTAAGTTGCTCACTTGAAGAATTTCTAGAAGCATTCAATTTGAATAGTATATCTAAGTCCTGCAGGAAATCGGATTTAAAAATTTTTGTAGTATAAGTTCTTATATTTTTTTTTTCTGTGAAATTTTGCACAATATGCATTACATTTATATCAACATACTTGTCCATTCATGGCAAAATTTTGCATAAAGATATGTCAAACTAAATGAGAAACAAGTTTCTTTATTTTAATTGACCGCCTCGAGTTCGGGAGACCAGGTCAAACAAAATACTGTATAAAGTTGGTATTTGCTTCCTCTCCGCTAAGATCGCAGCATTAAGGATGAAGAAAAGGACTGGTTGGTTCGGAGTTAAAATAATGTTTTAGGGTAGGGTAACATATCTTCCTGTGGACTGTTTCCTTGTGAACTAGCACGGTAAAAATCCGTCTCTGTATGTCGGTCTGGTTTAAAGCAGGGTTAATATTCATATCGCATTAACGAGTTCTCGTCCTGCATATGCTTTTAATTTTCCACTGAACGATAAAAGTCACCTATCATCACCATCTGTATATTAATAAGCTGGTATCTAAGCAACAACACGCATAATTACTGAGTTTGTTGTCAAACTGTGTTTCAGGTCGTTCAGGAGGCTCTAGATAAAGCTCAACAGGGACGGACATGCTTTGTTATAGCTCATAGACTATCCACCATCAAAAACTCTAATAAAATAGCCATCATACACAAAGGAGAGGTTGTAGAGTTAGGAAACCATGCAGAACTTATGGCATTTAAAGGAATTTATTACAAATTAAGTACCCACAATCAAGGGAAATGAGTGGATGTAACCAAACCATTCCCTGATGCATCCAACTTCAGTGAAGAATGCTTTTAAGGACTGCTGACAAAAATACTAACAATATTGAGAATATTGACAAACTATTTATAATCAGTATTATAGTATTTATTTGTAATTGACGCGAAAGTCAACCTGTTTTCTAAACTTTGACAGCAACTATTAAATGTTATAGATTCTTGCTAGAATGGCTCAATTGAAGTTTCAAATGTGAAATATAAAACAGTTCAGCAATTAAGAATTTCTTGTTCCTAAATTTTATGTTAGTACATGTAGCTGACAATTACTCATGCCTCAGATATATTGCATTGATATTTTGTGTTAAATGTTTGTTTAGGATTGTCAGCATTTTGATCTGTCTGTGCAATATAAATGACTTGTGCGGTAGAATGCTTTCCACAAAAAAAAAAATACTATAAATATCTGCAGGTTAAAAATGTTGGTGGCTATTTTATATCTGATAGGAACACATAAATTTGGTATCCATTTCATTAACAGGAACTTTTTTTTATCAGCTACAGTAACTATAAGTAAATGGTCAATTATATTTAAGTCTATAGAATCACTTACAGTTGCCAATAACTTGCATATAAATAAAGTATTTTGTAATGAAACAGCAGATGCGGATCTAGGATTTTGAAAAAGGAGGGGGCCCGGGCCCCCATACTAGACAAATGCCTATGTGCCCCTGGAGATGTGTTACAAAAATGTACGCAGCGTGTTCGGTTATTAAAAAAAGAATGTCAACATTTAAAAGTTAAAAAAAGGAGCCACCAGGAAAAACATTCCGACAATAAGTTTACCCGGGTCGTATCTAAATTTCCTAGCTCGGCAAACAGCATCTCCGTAAAAATTAGGATATGCTATCCCGTTTGAAATAAATTTTCTACAGGTACATCCAAACTGCCAAACCAATTCTTTGCATTGATGGAATTACCAATTCAGGGGCAGCAACCCAACAACGGGTTGTCAGATTCATCTGAAAATTTCAGGGCAGATAGATCTTGACCTGATAAACAATTTTACCTCATGTCAGATTTGCTCTAAATGCTTTGGTTTCAGAGATATAAGCCAAAATCTACATTTTATCCCTATGTTCTATTTTTAGCCATGGCGGCCATCTTGGTTGGTTGACCGGATCACCGGACACATTTTTTAAACTAGATACCCCAATGATAATTGTGACCAAGTTTGGTTAAATTTGACCCAGTAGTTTCAGAGTAGAAGATTTTTGTAAAAGTTAACAGACGACGCCGGACGACGACGACGACGACGACGACGGACGACGGACGCAAAGTGATGAGAAAAGCTCACTTGGCCCTTCGTGCCAGGTGAGCTAAAAAGGGAACTTCGTCATATTTTTGTACACAAACGAAAATTATATGACCGAGGAAAACAAAGATCAAAACATCAATACTGGCATTCAATGCAGTAGTTAATCAATTCGCAAGGAAACCCAAAGGAATTTTGGGGGAAATTGGAAGGATCGGCGTAGGGAGCGAGCGACAAAAAACTATTCCAATGGAGATTAAATCAAAAGATGAATCAATTAGTGATGATAGAAGTACGGTTAATAATAAATGGAAATGTGATTTTGAGGAAATGTTAAATAAAAATAGCGATAATAGTAATGAAATAGAAAATTGTATATTGAAATAATTTGTGATATGAAGTTTTAGATGGTGAAATTACCACTAGCGAAGTGTATCATATATGATAAAAATATCAAAATGTGGAAAAGCTCCGGGCGTTGATGATATTCCAGTTGAATTATATAAAAATCCTACAGCATTCAATGCGCGTACCCGTGTATTTAATATATTTTTTTGATTGTTATGATTCCGGTAAACGGTACCAGCTATGTGGAGTAAATATAGCATTATACCGATCCCCTTGAGTCATCTACGTCAGATCCCAGAGATCCGAAGTCATGTAGAAGAATAAGTCTAGCACCAGTGGCATATTGTAGTGTTCTTAAAGCTAATCTGACAGGAAAACTTACAAATCTTGAAGCAACCAACGACAAACACAATGGTTTTAGAAATAACCGTTGTACCATAGACCATCAATCAACTTGAACCACCATTGTTGAAACGAAAAAGCTATGTAAACTTTCAGCGTTCTGTGCATTTATAGATTTTAAAAAAGCATACGAATTGGTAAATTGTAAATTGTTGTTTTGTTAATTAGAATCTTTAGGTTTAAGTACAAAAATGTTAAATGCTTTACCTTCTTTATATTATAATATTTTTATAAGATTAATGGCAATTTGATGGATTGGTTTGGAGTAAATTCTGATCTAAAACAAGTTGTATATTATCGCCGTTGTTATTTGATATTTTCAAAAATAACTTAATTGATGACATTAAGAGATTAGATATTGGTATAAATGTAAATTGCGACAGTTGTACAGTATTTATTGATATAATAGAAAAAATACCCCTTCCGTCTGCCATCTGCCTCCTGCTCACCAAGGGGAGGTGGAGTGGGATTTCGAGCAGGATAAAGTTATTGTGAAAGTTTCTAAAACTATATACATCACACGTAAAATAACACTTTACAGAAGAGGAACGTAGTTACTATTTTTGCATCCATGTAAGGTCACAGTACATCCGCTAAAAACATTTCGGGAAGCACTCGAAAGTTCCGTCAATGAATTTTTCTGTTATATCATTTCACATACATTGCAAATTCACATGGCTTGCAAAAATAATTATTCCGCTTTCAATGTAATTCACAAGCAAGAAATTTTGATGGTCATGAAGCTGATGGTAATGTGCAAAAGATCCATCTTTTCATAACAGAAGTGTTTAATTCAATGAGCTCAACATACGTATATACATGTATACATATAACATGAGCATTATTATACTAATTGAACACCACTTAGCTGCTACGCAAGTTGGCCGGTTGGGTTAACTTAAGTATCGGTAATTATCTAAAATGTACCACATCTTACCTGTTCAAATTTAAATTGGCGCAAATGAAAAATTAATAATTGGCGCAAACGAAAACTTTTGTTTTGGCGCAAATGGAAAAAAAACAAATATTTTCATAATTGGCGCAAATATGACCCGAAAATTGTTCGTTCAAAGTTCACTTTCAGAATTTTGTATGTTTTTATAATTCATGCTTTTTATTATCATTCCGAGTCGTCATTGGTTTTTAATAATGCAATGGTTCATTGTATAGTACACTATTCAAAAGTTACTTGTATTTTACACTTAACTATAATTCAGATGAGAACATTGACTTTTCATTTACTTGCAAATGTATACTTTTACCTTTACGATCATTATTACCGACAATGTTCCATACAATGCCTTTTCAAGTATCGAAATAATCTACACTTTGCGTTTTTGTTAAAATAAATATCGAGTAAAAGCGACATTTTGATAAATGGTCACATTCAAATAGATGTATTCAAAGATGTGTACATATATATTTATATAGTGCTACAGAGATAGTTCGGACAAATGTTCCTGAAACTTAAAATATGTAGTAACAGAGTTCAAATTGGAGAGAAACTCCGGGATATTCTTGATATTCATTCCAGGTGGAAAGAGAGGTGGTGATGAAAACAGATTTATTTGACAAAACAATTATTCTATGCAATGACAATACTTATATATATATTTACTGATTTTTTTTATATAAACATTATTTTATGAGTACCGCATTTCTGTGAAAGAGACACAGTATTCATTTAATTGCGTTATTTGCATGGTGGCAAATATTACATAGCTGCATATAGACAAGTTGTTCGTTTTATTCTTATTGCTTCGTGATATATTCGTGTTGGTATTTAGACACACTTAGTTCAATAACATGCACATTATAAAGAAATTTCGACAAATGTTCGTAATAGCACGCTTGTAAATAAGATGTACATATAATTGTTCGTTTATACTTTTTTGCATTTTGAAATATTATTCGTTAATAATTTATACATGCTGATACGGGAGTATCAGATAGGGAGCGACGGGGTAATATGACCCGAAAATTGTTCGTTCAAAGTTCACTTTCAGAATTTTGTATGTTTTTATAATTCATGCTTTTTTTTTATCATTCCGAGTCGTCATTGGTTTTTAATAATGCAATAGTTCATTGTATAGTACACTATTCAAAAGTTACTTGTATTTTACACTTAACTATAATCCTTTAATTCATTTAAATTAATTATCAAAGATTTATATCCGTCTTTATGATAAAAGATTGTGTAACAAAGAATATAGATAAATTGACACTAAGTGATAACTGCCGAAAGCCATTCTTCACAAACTTATACGAAACATGTTTTTAATCCGTAATCCCCGCTTTCGGCAAAACGCGATTTATAATATTTGATAACAAGATATTTTGATTGGTTCCTTTTCCGCATGTCAAGCAGTCTTTTAATTTGTATTTTATATTTGTTTTTATGTTGTTATTCAGTTATGTTTTAATGATTGAAGTATATGGATGCGAAATAAATATGAAAACTTTCCAGCGACTTGGACTTTATTTAAGATACCGCTAGTTTCCCCCGAAACCAATTAATATGACAGAGGTGACCAATAACCAGGTCATACAAATGTCATACGCCCGTATGGAGATTTGCGTTGTTATTTGTTTTATCAAGCATCTCTATATAATGTTTATTTTATGCATTTGTATGATGACGATAAATTTCAGTATATTTTTATTCACAGATGAAAATATGTACTTTTGTGCTGCCAAAATCTGCATTTTATTGAAAAGAAGTTGTATTCTATATTACTAATTAGACAGTGTAGATCTTACAATTGAGAATGGAAACGGGGAATGCGTCAAAGAGACAACAACCCGACCAAAGAGCAGAAAACAGCCCAAGTCACTAATGGGTCAACACAGCGAGAACAATACCGCACCCGGAGGCGAGCTTCAGCTGGCCCCTAAACAACAATATAAAAATAAAGGAGATGAGGTATGATTGCCAATGAGATGTAACTATCCACCAAAGTTCAAATAAAGTGGATGTAAGCAATTATAGGCAACGTACGGCCTTCAACAATGAGAAAAAACCCATACCGTATGTGCGGCTTTAAAAGGCCCGACATGAAAAATATGAAACAATTCAATTGAGGAAACTAACGGCCTAATTTATAACAAAATAATTATCGAAAAACAAAGATGACAACAAAAAAAAAACAATGTATACTGGTTCAGCCGGAAAATGAACGTCACACTAAACTCCGAAACGAAACATATAAATAAACCAAAATAAAAAAAAACATACAAAGGCCAGAGGTTCCTGACTTGGGACAGGCGCAGAAATGCGGCGGGTCTTCACATGTTTTGTGAGATCTCATCCCTCCCCCTATACCTCCAGCCAATGTGGAATAAACAAACACACAGCAATACGTACAGTAAAATTCAGTTTAAAAGAAGTCCGAGTCCTATGTTAGATTAGGTAACAAAAGAAACTAAGCAAATTGACAATAATCAACATAAATTAACAAAGGACTACTAGATATTACTGACATGCCAGCTCTAGACCTCAATTAAACTGATTGAAAGATTATGTCTTCATCATATGAAAATCAAGCACAATCTCCCCGTTAGTGGTTTAGTATCATACCATCATAAAAATATACGATAAAAGAACATATCCCGTATTATGCCAACAACTGGTTTTAGAATAAATGTGTTTATTTCCGATGCAAAGAGTTGAGTGAATCAATATTTATTCCAAAAATGCCATTTTTAATGACATGACAACAGTATCGTAACTATATCCCTTCTGAATAAGTTTGTTTAAGGGTTTGGTTAGCTTTTGAGGTGAATGACGACATTTTTGTGCTTTGTATAGTATATTACCAAAAAACATGAGATGTGAAATTCCTGAACGTATAAGATGTCTACACGTTGATTTATATTTACGAATGATGTCCTTGTACCGATGATAAAATTTAGTATTAATGTTTTGACAAGTTTGTGATATCGAAAACCCTGGTGTAATGAATTTTCAGTAATACAGAGATTCCTTTCGTTAGAATCAAATACGTTATTACATACACGAGCGAATCGAACAAGTTGAGATATACAAACACCATAAGATGGTGCCAAGGGAACGTCACCATCTAAAAATGGATAATTAACAATAGGAAATGAACAATCATCTCTTTTATCGTAAATTTTAGTATTATGTTTTCTGTTAAAGATATAGATATCAAGATAGTGTATATATATATACTTTTTAGATAATCTCTCATAACTCTTTTTAGAGTGACTCTTGTATATTTTTTTATTATGTTTTATTAATAAAGGGGCATTAGTTACGAGATATAAAAAAAAAAAATATGATCTTTGTTTTGGTTCAGTCATTAATGAAAGTGAAATAGTGAAATAATAATTCGCTTTTAGCAGCCAGTTTGGTTCAATTTGGTCAAAATAAGCTAAAAGACATCGCTGATGAATTATTCACTTGCAAGTGATTAATTCGACCTCACTGAATCCGTATTTATGTGACCTTCAATTTAACCCTTTAGCTAGAGATGGGTTACGCATGAATTAGGCGGGTTCAGTTATTAAAAGGAAAAGAATGTCAACATTGAAAGTGAAACAAGGGTAAACCATTTGATTGACTGATTCGATCCACAAAAACTCATTCTTATACAGATAAAAACTAACTGGTGTTTTTTAACGACCTTGACTGGCTGGTAAGCCCTCGCACGGTCTGCTCGGTGCCCGAAGGCGATAGGTGAGCATTAAACAATTTCTGATGCAAAGTTGGTCAGGAACAGGTAGAAGGCGCCATTTTGGTAGGCGGCCATTTTGGTTTACGTGAGTTGTTTTGGTTTTTTACTATTTTGTTGTCTCTTTACAGTCTGGACTCCACAACGGCTGCTTTCGTGGCCAGGGTAATCAGCTGGGCAGCCCGCTAACCACGACGATGTGTTGCTGGTAGATGAATATTGGACTCCGTAGTAGATGAGTGCTACTGCACTTAACTACGATACAACTTGCCCTCGGACGTCTGGGCAGCATATGACACTCACCATCCACAATGGGTTTCAGAGTGTCGCTAACGCTGGCTTACTGTATGGTGTCTCATACAATAGTTTGTTGTTGAACCATCTGAGCAGCGTAACATGTTGTAGTTTACGGATAATCAGGAGCTGATCCAGCACGTCCGTTCAGCTGTAAGGACAGAGACATGACTGGTTATTGGATTGATGTTCCAAAAAAAAAGAGGTAAAAACGATGACTAACGTATACTTTTAACCTGTATTGTAAAATCAAACAGACCTAGAAAAATATAATTGCACGAGTTCGCTATCTATTTATGTCTGTATTTATGTTTATATGTCGGTAGTCTTCAGAGGTCACCTCGATAGTTAATTAGATGGCGTCTAAACTAAAATACACACAAAATGCTGACATATATTATCGAGCCGATGCATTGTAAATTGTTTATTTTAGACTTTTTTTATAATTTGGATATACGTTTAGTATGTTATAAATCAAATATGAGAATTTGAGTCGAATCGGTGAACATGAATTTGACAGCTAATGCCCCTTTAACTATTGTATATGTTATATTGATTGATTGATTGATTGGTGTTTAACGCCACTTTCAACAAACTTGTGTTATTTCGGAGCGGTCAGTTTTTATTGGTGGAGGAAGCCGGAGTGCCCGGAGAGAACCACCGACCTTCGGTAGGAAAACTAACAATCCTAGTCAATAAAGATTGGAGTCGAGTGCACCTGCCCCGTGGGATTCGAACTCACAACCTCAGTGTTGACTGGCTAGTGATACAGTAGTTCCGACTACTTAGACCACTCGGCCACCGAGGCCCCGTATATTTTATAAAATGAAAAGGTGAGACTTAAATAAAATATTTTTTTGTCTTGTATTGTCTATCGCAACGTGCTAATAATTAGATTGAGCTTTTGCTTTCTTACATTTTTTGCACCAAATTTACAATATGACTTGAAGTCTTCATTTCTTCCAGATTTTGAAAAAGAATTTTTACTGAGCATCCCTTCTGGGCATATTGCAAACATACTTTTTTTGGTTTAAAAATACTTTACCATGGATCATTCAATATACAACAGAAATATCTAAAAATTAATGTTAACTTTACAGATCAAACTATCAAAAAATAAAGTATGGTTAAGTGTATTCAAAATTTTCAGAAAAATCCTTTAAGGCAGACGATTGTATTTAATTTGATACAATTTGTGTTTTTTTTTTATTTTATCGAGAAAATAAGGCCCGTGACCCCTTATTTTATTTATTTGATATTTCGGAAGTTTTTAAGAAATGCAATTCTTTCATTGAATTTTAACAATTTTTATTGTTTAATCTTTTCTCAATAAGGAAAAAATTTTAAGTTTCCCCTATATAAACCATAAACAATAACGGTAATTTCGTTGATTTCAATGTATTTTAACGAGAGAAAAAACAAAGTCCGTGACTTTAGTTTTTATATTGAAATTTGAAAGTACATTGGCCAGAAGTCTTTTACAGAATATTATGTTTGTCATTTGCCGTTAAACACGAATCGACTAATTCGTTATTTCAAAATGTTGATAGATATGTGTTTGTATGTTTATGTATTATAATAATACATGTAGCTAATGTTAATTGTCAAATTTGGTAACACTCCTGTAATTAAAAAAAAAAACTTGCTGCAGAAATTCTCGACTTTTAATAAACGACATGACAGAAACACCATATAATTTGAGGATTCGTAGACCTCATTAGCCAATTAAATATAGATTTATATCAGTTTATATTTAATGTGTTCTCTTTCTGTATATCAAAGGCATTAGATCATAGGGAAAACTGAAATAATGTGATTCGGCCATTTGAACTAGCGCAACTCTGATCATGCCTAAATTGTGGTAGAAATTTTGTTTTTAACAATCGTTTCCAATAGTTAAACTTCAATATGAAATATATTTAATGTACGTCATTGAAAACAATGTAAATTTTCTGGTATTAATATTTATAAAGTTCAATAAGCCCTTTATATTTTAATAATCCCATTGTCATTATTCTAAAGATTAATATTGAAATAATTTTTGTGTACAATGAATATTTAAACATGACTCTCTACATTTCTATTGTTGATTTTTATCACTATGAGCCACGCATAAACAACGGTAGCTATAACATACTTATCTAATTTACATATTAAGAGGATTATTATCATGTGTTTTCATCGTCGTTTGACTGTAAAATCAGACGTCTTCCGAACGAAAGCTTGTTTATTCTTGCATAGAAATACTTTCTAGCAACGGCTTAGCAACAGGTATAAATATGACAGGTTTTGAATCAAACATCATTCTATTTACTCACACGACACCTCAAGTCACCGTGAGCTTAGGACTTTTTGTTTTTATTTTGATACAATCAATAAACCGTCAACATGGTAAGTTAATTTGTTTGTTTTTAATGGTAGTTTTTTTTTGTGATTTATCGATTTCATAATTTGAAATAACTACCGGCACTGATT